TTTTTTTCATTTTAATAAAACTCTTTGTGAAATCCCTGACTCAGGCTTTATTTATTCCACAGGGATGTCACATTTGGCCACACTGTGGTGACAGTGCCCATGAGGACTGCCTTTTTCTGGGGTGGATGTGGGGGTTTGAAGAAAAAAAAAGCCTGAACAAACATCATTGTGTGGCTGTGGATTGTTTGGGATGGTTCCTTGGACTGGAAATCAGGAGTGGGGAGTGAACAACATGCAAAGTGATGGCAGAACAGCAAATGGAAAGCTGCTCTCCCCAGGAGTGAGGGAAAAGCTGTGTCTGACCTCCCTTGTGCTGAGCAGTCTTGCCAGCCACGGAAACCCCTTGCTGATACCTGAGTGTTCCCTGCCTGCTGCCAAAGGCTCGTAGCTGCTGCTACCCTAAAACTTCAATGCTAGCACAGATCCTGCTGAAGCTGCTGGTCAACTCCAAACCTTCCCTGTCCCTCTCTTCCCCTCGTGGGGGAGACTTTCTATGTTTTGCAGGAGTAGCAGTGGGGTGGAATCCCATTTTTGTCCCTCTTTTGGGAGGGAAGCCAGGGGAACAATCCTGCTGAATCAGAGCCAAGCCATCAGCCTGTGCTGAGATGAACCTGGGGGCAGCAGTGGCACGAGCTGCACAGCCAGTGGCAGCAGTTTGTTTTCTTGCATGAACTCTCAAAAGGTTTTTAGATTGCAGGAGAAAAGCATTTTTGGTGGCCTGGAGCATCCTGTGACTGTTCTGTAGCAGGGAAGAAGCCTTTACCCTCCCTGCTGCCCACAGGTCATGGGGTGAGGTGGCTTCTATGGTCCATGTTTTCCAGCCCCACAGGGATGGAGCTGCTCAGCCTCCCACGGTTGAGCAGGCAGTGAGTGTTGCAGTGAGGTCAGAGCCACTGAGACAGCCCTGAGCAGTGGTCAGGGTCAATACAGCCAAAAACTTGAGGGCAGAAACTCAGATTTAAATTTTTCTTTCCCGTTTTGGAGATTTTTATTTTTCATTTTGTACTGAAGACAGTAAATTAAATAACTGACAGGCTTTTTCCAGCCCTGTCCTGACAGCTGTCAGTCACCAAGCAGAGCTTTCAGGACATGAAAGATTGATAAGACAGAGCCAGTGGGCGTGGAGGTGATGCTTCCCTGGCAGAAAATGCCCCAACACCCCAGAGCACTGACTCAGTCAGCTAAAAAATATAAGTACAGTCCCAAAAAAAAGCAGAGAAGAGGCATCTCTGCTTTCCAAACTGCTGCCTTCCTGTCCTGCTGCCCGTGTCCAAGGGAGCCGAACGAGGGTGTTGAGGAAATGCTGAGCATTTATGCAACACAAGCGCTTTGGGGTCTCCTGGTGATTTTGATGTTACGCCTGAAACAAAATTCATATTTAATTCATCGTCTTAATAACATTTATGAATGTGGAGTTTGTCTGGCAGCTCTGTGCCTATGGTGTTGTTATCCCTGTGTTTGTGGGATGATTTGGGGAGCCTCAGTGAGGCCATGGTGGTGTTTCACCGGGGCTTCAGTCCAGCACATGGGAGGGAAACCACGACAAAAGCAGCTGGGGCAGTAAAAACCCAGCCCTGAAAGCAGAAATGTGAAACTTCTCCCCATTTTGCACTGTAATTAAACCCAAATAAGGGCTTTTTCTGTCCCCTTAAACTGTTTGTGACTAAAACAGATGGAAAGGCTGATAGTGCAGCAGTTTTTTTGGGGCCAGCAGAAAGCCATGCTGCAAGAGTAGCTCCTGCTCAAGGAGGCCATTTCAGCATTTCCCCAAAACCCCATTAACTGGGGAAAGAGCTTCATGTGCTCTCACCCCCACCGAGACATTTTGAGCTTCATCCTCATCCTGAGCAACCCTTGGCAGTGGGGAACAACCAGCTGGATGAACTCAACCCGGGCTGTCTGTGTATTTATTTATTCTGGGGAATTCTGCTCCTCCTCACACAGGGGCTTTCCAAACGGTTCCTGTTTATTTTTGGAAAAGGAAAGACCACGTCAAGGAATTGGTATGAGCCAGAGCTGCTTCCCAACCAGCCCCAAATGGGGATTTTTTTGCTTCCATCCCCATCCCAAAGCTCCAATTCCTGGAGGGAAACCTCTTGTTAGCACATCTGCCTCCACCTAGCAGCCTGATCCTTTGTTTTGGAATTCATGTGCCACAGGAGGGCAGGTTTGTCTTAAACCCCAACCTCTCAGTTGCTGGTGAGGATTTGGGGACCTCAGAAGATGTTATAGCCAAGGAGCCCTGCTCCAGCCCAAACTGATCCAGATTTCCTCTTGCAGAATGAGAGAACCACATCTGCCATGTCCCGAGGTGCAAGCCCCCATGCAGGCTGAATCTCAGCACAAGAAAGCTGTTCTAAAAGATCCCAGGTGTGCCAGGATGAGGGCAGGCTGGCTGCTTTCAGGTCAGCTGGAAAACCAGCCCCCTTTCCCCCCTAAATTCTCTGTCTGGCTCGTTAGGACTGAGCAGGGATGCCCCTGCAGCAGGATGTGTGCCCAGGTAGTGCCAGCCTGAGGGCAGCTGCTCCCTCCTGCCCGAGGGAGCAGTGCCAAAGCAGAGATGGAAGGAGCAGGAGTGTCTGCAGGGGAAACTCCTCTCCTTGATTTAAGGTCCTTGAATGACGGTAATTCCTCATGTCTCACGCTGCTCTCTGCTGGCACTTAATTACCCTCGCTGGAAAAACTGCCCTCAGATTTCCACCTTGACTTTGCTGACTTCAGCTTCCCTGCTGTTGGATCCTGATTTGCCTTTGGCTGCTAATTAAAAAGCCCTTCAGCCTTTGCCAGCTGCTCCTTGCATAGGTAATTACAGACCGTGCCCCAGCCACCTCTCCACCTTCCCAGCAGCATTCCTCCAAAATCTCTGCAGCCTTTTCCCACTCTGCCTCCTGGTGAGTGGCACTGCTGTGGTCACCTAGAGAAAAACCCGAGTGCTGCACTTACCAAACCTAAAGAAGCTGAGAGTTTGAGGTGGGATTTTTCCCATCACAGACAGAGGTGGACATGTGTCAGTGCTCTCAGTGCCAAAGGGGATGGTGGCAGAGGAAAAGCAGCAGCCCCTTATCCAGCAGAGGAACAAGGCAAGTTCTCTTCCTGACTCCTCCCAGAGGAGCTCAGCTCCATTTAAACAATTTTTTTGGCTAAGGTGAACCCAGGGGATCCCCTCCCTGCCTTCCCACTCACCCTTCACTTCCAAAACTCAGTGAGATCTGGAGTTTTCTTTGGCATTTGGATCTTCTTTATTTGAAGTTTAAAACTGCCATGGGCTGTGTGCCCTTTCTCCTCACTCCTGGCAGCAGAGCCAAGGCTGTTCAGACTTTCCAGTCCTAAGTGGGACACGACCCAGGCCTAAATTTGTCCCGGAAAAATTGTAAGCAGATGAAAGAACAAACAGGAGGGGGGAAAGGTGAAAAAAATAAAAAAGGAAAAAATGGGGGGGAGGGGGTGGAACCCCCAAACCAACTTGCTGTTGCAATAATCCCCCATGTGTGTCAGGATTTATGGGATTTTTTGCTTGAAAACGTATTTTGAGCCCCCCACCTCCACAAAAGTTTGGTCATTAAGCATCACAGAGCTCCTTGTGCCTGCAGAGGCCACCTGTGCCACGAGCCAGTGGCCTGGGGACGCTGCAGGGTCAGTCCTGTGGCTCTGCAGAGGACAGATCCTCTTGTGACACCTCTCCCCATCAGGGTTTAGCCCAGCAGGATTGGGTTTTTTTCCTGGGAAAAATGGCAATTGGGGACTGTGTTTTTCTCTGCCTCCTCCATCATTTTTCTTGCTTTTTTCCTCAGGAAACCAGTGAGTTTCCAAGGCCCACTGGGCATTACTGGTCAGAGTGGAGGGGATTGAAAGCCATCAGTGTTTGGCCACCTCAAACCTGCAGCTGCCACTCTCCAAGCTGCCTGCTCCCCTGGGCCACTCCATCACCTTCAGAGGTTTACAGGGAGCTGGTCCAACTGGCCAGAAAGTTTCCTCCTTTTTTTCCCCCCACCCTTTTTACCTCTTTGCTGATGAAATCAGCACTTAATAAAATCACATCAGGCCCAGATGTTTTCTTCTTGGGTCAAGATCCAAGGAGGAGAAGTCAATTTGAGTTGCAATTTATCCCAGGCTTACACAGAACCCCCCGCCCTGGGCAAAGAGCCAGAGCCTGCCCGGGCGCGACCCCCGGGTGGAGAAGGGATGGAAACACATCCCGGGGGACAAAAACACATACCGGGGGATGGAAACACATCCCAGGGGATGCAGTCACATCCCGGGGGACTGCAGTCACATCCCAGGGGATACAAACACATCCCGGGGGATGCAAACACATCCCGGGGGGATGCAAACACATCCCGGGGGACTGCAGTCACATCCCGGGGGATACAAACACATCCCGTGGTGTCCAAGCGCCCCACATGTCCCGGCTCCACACACATCAAAGTCGCCCCCCGGAGCACACAGCTGGCTGCACAGCTGGTCCTGCCTTCAGTCATCTGACACCGTGGGGGCTTCTGAGCCCCATCCCTGCCCGGGGAGCCTGCAGGGCTGGCAGCCAGCGGCACCTCCTGGGGAACCTCCCTAATTAGGAAGCGTCTAATGAAGATCAGCAGCTGCCCGCACTGGACCAAGAGCAGGCAGAGTGTGTTAGCAGCTCACCGTGGTGTGGTGCTCCTATTTTGGAGCTAAATGATTTTGGAATATTAATAATCAGGAAAAACATTGGGTTTTGTCTTTTTTTGCAGTGGGTGAGTAAACCCAGCTTAATTGGGGCTCAGCCCAGGGATGTTCCCTGTGTAGAATAAGCAGTGCTTTGTTGGAAGGCAGTGCCTGAAGTGATTTGGCATCATCCTCCTGATCCAGATCCTGGAATACCAAGCATCTGGATGGGGCAGGCTCACAAACAAGAGACTGCATGTGGGGGAAAGCAAGAGGAGGGGTGTGATCACTGCCCCCAAGGATTCACAGACTCGGCTGAGCCCCGTCAGGACATGGCATGGAGTGGCCACACAGTTTTTGCATGTTTTTATTAATAAAACGGCCGATGGTGAAGAATTGACCCAGAAAACCATTTGGCCAGGGCCCTTTGACTACTCCTCGCCCCTGCCTCCGTTGGAAGCAAACCCATGGTGGCAGTGAGCCCGTGGGGCCGTGCCCGAGGCTGGGCTGCAGCTTTGCCGAGACGCCCGCGCTCCGGTGTGTGTGCCCCAGCCTCTCTCCTCCCTCTGGGCTTGGGGCGGCTCTCAGGGGGTGCATCAAAACTCCTTAAACCTGCGGGGAGAGAAGCGAGCGGCTCAGGGCGGAGGGAATCGTCCCACAGAGGTTGGGATCGATGGTGGACACTGCGACGCTGCTGGAGATGGAAAGGGAAAACAGCTCTGCCGGGAAAGCCCAGCCCCATCCACACCACAAGGAGGAGAAGCAGGTGCAAGGAGATCCAGCCACTCTTTTGTCTGGCCAAAGATGAAATGTCCCCAAAAATCCTACAGCGTTTGTGCCTCTTCTCTGCAAGCTGCTCCAGAGACACTCCCCAAAGCCCTCAAGACATTGCAGTATTGCCACAAACTGAGCCAGCTGCTTCCCCCAGCAGAAACCAGGCAGCACTTGGTGCAAACACGGGTGCTGTCAACCCCTAGGACAGCCATCACCCTAACCAGCCCCGGCACAAGAGAGCAGAGCCTGGCAGCCCTCCACCGGCAGCTGGAGAAGATTTGGGCTGCACTTACCGCAGCACGAGGGCCAGACTATTGGTCTTTCACCTGCAAACACAAGACATAAGGGACGAAATGTTCGCAGGGGGTCGGGGTCTGGCAGCCCCACTGCCAGCACCGGCAGTGGCCCCTTCCTCTAGATGTCACATGGGGATGGTGGTGGCAATCAGAGCCAGGCCAGCGCTGATCTGGAGATTATTTATACACTCACTGCAGTGATTCTGCTACAGATTTGATTAGTGAGCCCTGGCTGTGTGTAATCAAGCTCAGTAGCACAGGTGGGCAAAGCCTATAAATTCACTTGTTTCAAGTGCATTAATCAATCCCAATCGATTGGGCACCTGGGCCAGTACCTCCTAAGTCAGCCGGAGACAAGGATGCACTGCCCATCCACATCTCCCTCTCCCCCCTTCCTCCCATCCCCTCCCACCATCCCACACTCTTCATTTGACCTCTTGATTCCCAAATCTTGATCTCGGCCCTAAATGATTGGGGGAGTGGCTATTTGGAGGCCGAGCCTGCAAAGCGAAACTCGGAATCAGAACGAATCAAGCTTGTGTTTGAGTTTAATCCTCAGGGCTCAAGTGAAGATACTTACACCGAGCTACTTCCCATCCATCACTGACTCTGTTAGCTGCACACTAGAGCTACAAAGACACAAGGATGCTGTGTTTAGAACCCCACGTGCTTTTTGAGGTGCAGATGGCTAAAATCCCCCAGGTGCTGCCTCGGCTGAAGGTGGAAATGTCTCTGTGGCCTCACGATGCCCGCGCGAAGATGCAGCAGCGACAGCAAGGGATAACAAACATCTTTCTGGAGCAGCACTGACACCGTGTTTGGGCACTGTGGGACCAGAGGCCACCCCGGGGTGGCAACTACGTACCCTCTCTGCCTCGCCATGTAGCCGCACCAGCCACGGGCCTCTTTGACCACCACACGAACAAGGAGCTGCAAGAGGAAGGGCGGAGGATCGCTGCAAGGCTGGTGGCACTGCAGCCTCCAGCCTTGGCATGAGTATTTCCATCACCAGATCGATTTTACAGCTCTTCTTAGCAAAGATTATATGAGCTAATCCTGTGCAAGGAGGAGGTTGTTGGGAAAAGCCAAGTGGAAGCAGAGGCTTGGAGCCAATACAGGCCTTTGCAGTTTGCCCAGTGCCTGGATGTCTTCTGAGAACCATCTGTGCCCTCCACCAGTGAGCAGGTAGCTAAAAGGGAGCCTGTGACACCCCAGGGTAGAGAAAGGAGTCCTACCAAGGAGAGACCTACCAGACAAGCCAGGACATCAGCTGCTATCAGCATGTAAAAGACGTTATTCCAGCCTGTGGGAGAGATGAGCCCCGCGAGCAGCGGCCCCAGCGCAGCACCTGCGGGGGCACACGAGCCACGTCAGCCCCTGCTCACACACGAGAGGGGACCAGGACAGCCAGCACCCCCAGCCATACCCACCAACAGATCCCGTGCCATCGATGATGGCCGTGACAGTCGAAAGGGCTTTGGCATTTCCTTTCAGAGATTCATGGGTGCCCTGTAAGGATGGAGGAATAAAACATAAGGAGCAAAAGCAGTTTTGAGGTGCACGGCTGGCATATCCCAGAGTGAGGCTGATGTCCCAGTACAATTTCCATGTGTCAGATGCAGCCATGGATGGGAGGATCAAACTCAAATGCTGTCTGCAGCCAAACCATGGCAAAACCTGGATCACCAACAGCAGGCAGAAATTCCCAGGGGATTTGCCACCAAATATTTCCACTCTGCTTGTGCTCAGAGGGAGATGCAGCAAAGCTGAAACACAGCCATATGGCCAAGGTGAAAACAGGAAAATCCCCCGTGTTTAGGGGAGAGTGGGGAGCACAGCACCAGGTGTGACAGCTCTGCCCTTCTCCACTGGGCCTTGGAGGTATTGGAAAACAAAGGCAAAGTGCAAAAATCCCAGCAAAACATCCTGAACAGCCTCTGGGTGTGCAAGGGCAGCGTGGCGGGGTCTGAAGTGCACCTCTTACCAAATCTGCCGACACCGCTGTTGTGATGAGCGCGTAGGGCCCGTTAACCAGAGCACCACAGATGATCAGCATCCCTACACAGGTGCCCAGGGAGAGATCAGATCTTTAGGTGCAGGGAGCAGCAGGACATTGGATCCATCATCCCCAGCCCACGTGTGGACATTGCTGTCCCATGCATCCGTCTCCTGTGCATCTCCATTTTCCCATGACGATCCCACTCAGCAGGCAGTGAACACTCATTCAACACCACCCTCCCCCAAATTCAGGAGCCTGGCTCAAGAGGAGGAATAAAGGCAGGTGAATGCACAGTGTCTTCCATCACCACTTCAGTGACAGGAGCTGGCTGCACCATGGAGCTCCTTACCTATTGATATGCCAATGCCGTTCTGACCCACGTGGTTATACAGGAACAGCTGGAAAAGAGACACAGGGTGAACCAGTTGCTATTCCAGCTGTTTTACCAAGCGTTTTCCTTGCAGCAGTACCCTGAGGATAGGATGGAGAATGTGGGGACCTGAATTACTGCTCATGCCGAGCACCAGCTGGGATGGGGGGCTGAGTGCACCCCTATCCTCTGCATCCCACTGGCATGATGAAATACCTGGCAGCTGGCAAACAGAGGTGCTGTCACAATTTATAGCCAGTGAAGAAGCTCTGCTGCCTCCCAAGACTGCAGCCAGACATAATTTGCCCCAGTGGTGTCTCGGGGCCGCGGATGTGACGCAGCCCCTCTGCTTCCCAGCGTGCGCCTGCTCCTTCAGCAGAGAGGCTCCCATCCTGGAGCCAGCCAGGATTGGATTACAGCTAATTAGCCATGTTGTGGAAGCAAAGCCAAATGAGCTCTGTGCAGGTGCTTGGGAAGGATGTCCAAGCCAAGCTCCAGCAGAGCATGAGGCTGTTGGCATGGGGGCTTTTGGGATGAAAATCAAAGAGACAAAAGCTGGACCGGCTCAGTGGGACTCTTAAGGCTTTGAGCAGAGTTATGGAAGGATGGAAAAACCTACAGGGTTTTTTTAGTTGTCAAGGTCCCTGCAATCCCTTCCCAGCCCCTAGAGCTGGACATCCTTCCCAGGAACATCTGGGCACGTGAATCAATCCCAGCTCTCATCTCAGCCAAACGCGTGACCAGCTTATCCCGGGCACTTGGGAAGAGGAAGGCAGCTGTGACTCAAAGGAGCCAGAGCAGAGGAAAGCCTCGTGACAGGGTTCTGAGCCCGTGTGACAGCTCACCATGGGAGCAGCAATGACCAGCATCACGCAGCACGTGGTGGCTCTGCCGCCAGTGTAGTCAGAGATGAGGCCGGCAAAGATCCCCCCTACAAGAAAGAGTCGCAGGTGTCAGTCACACCACCCCAAAGGCAGAGCTTTGCCCTGGCTCAGCCCAAAATCCAACATGATGCTCCTTCATCCCTCATCTTCTGACCAGTATGCCCCCCAAGGTTAAGCATAATATTATCAGAGTGAAAAGCTTTGATTTATCCCTTCCACTTCCTCCCTGAAGATGGTTTCTCAGCACTTCCATGCCACTCTGTCTCTTCCATGCTTGAAAACTGTAGGAAAAGGAGTGCCTGAGCAAGTGAGACCTGAGGAAAGAGGCTGTGATGGTCATCAAAACAAATGGATGCCAAAATAAAATGGAGGGGTGTTTGCTGCCTGCTGAGTGCTGTGAACACTGAATAAACCTCCCAGGGGAAAGAGATTGGTGTTGCCTGTGGGGGGACCAGCCAAGGCTGGTCAAGGCCAGGATTGTCCCTAAATCATCCCTGATCCACTCCCTCCACCCCGGTTTGTTAACGAACCTAAAATACCCCCGACATCAAAGAGGGTCGACAGGTCCCCGGCTTCCTTGGCACCAAAATGAGCTGTGGGGGAGAGGAGAGGGGTGAGAAGATGTTTCCTTTGCAAGGCTCACTCCTGCCTCACTGTCCCCAAAACTCACCAACGTTGACAATGTAGAGGGGCAGCCAGTACAGGAAGGTGTAGCTCACCAGCTTGGCAAAGAGCAGGCACAGGGAGAACTCCACCACGCCCTGGGAGGAGAGGAGGGGACATCAGAGGAGCCTCCTCCCTCTCACCTCCTCTGGATAGTGGGTTTTTTCCATTTTCTGCCCTGTGGAGGCTCTGAGTTGCTCTGGCTTTGCTCTTTCCTCCATCCCCGCACTCACAGGTATCCGAAGTGCCCCAAGGAAGCTGATGGCTTCAGGCTCCTCAGCTGGCTCCTTGGGGTTGTGGGAGTGATCCACACTGCTCTGGCCTGAGAGGCTGAGTGGGCCCTCTTTGGAGGTGACTGCTTCAGGATCCTTCTCACTGATGGTCACTCCTCCAGGATTATCATCAGAGGCCATCTAAAATCAAGTGAAAACAGCAGATGTGGCTCTCACAGCTGGAGGAGGCTGCAGCATTGGCTCTGCTGCTGGGGCATGACCTAGAGGATGCTCCCAGTGCAAAATCAACAACCATCCCCTGTGACAACTGAACACTGCTCTAATTCCTGCCATCACAACCTGATGACCCAGTTGTTTCACTGTGCCCTGAGCGACACCCAGCCCAGGCCAGGCCCGCTGGGAATCGGCGCGACTCACGTGGTGCAGAGGTGGATCACAGTCAACATCCTCAGGGTCTGCAGGGACAAAGAATATCCTGTGAGGAGAAGCTGGACCAACCCCACTCCACCTGCTCTCCCTCCAGCATCTCACAGGGGCTGGGAACCCCCAGGTCTAGGCTGCATCTCTGGGTACATTCTTCCCCAGTAAAAACCCAAGGGACTTCCCTGATATTCCTAGAAAGACAGGCTCAGAGGAGTGACTGGGATGGGGGATGAGCCTGCCTGGACAACCCCAATGATGCCAACCATCCCCACGGTGGTCAGATCCACATCCCTGCTAGCCATAGGCTGGAAATAAGTATTTGGGATTGCCAAAAATGCTTAGAGCTGGGCAAGGTGGAAAATTGTATATTTTACACAGGTTGTCTGCTGTGCTCCAGATCACAACACTCACACTCCACAAGGAAGAAGAAGCAGATGATGCCTGCAAGGGTGATGATGATGCCAGGCACAACAAAGGACAGGCCCCAGGCAGAGGAAACCCAGACACCGGCGATGAGCGACCCTAAGATGTTGCCAACAGAGGTGTGCGAGTTCCAGATGCCCATGATCAAACCTCTCCTGGTGGGGACACAGCCGGGTCAGTGGCACTGAGGTGGCTGCCAGGGTCAACAGGGACCAGGACTGGCATGGGACACATCGGAAAAAAACTCACTTTCCTTTGCCAAACCAGTTTCCAACACACGCCACGACAGCAGGCCAGCCGGTCGTCTGCACCAGCCCATTGCAGACCTGGCAAGAGATGGGGAGCATCACTCAGCAAGCACAGCCATGGAGCCCCTGCACTGTTTTGGGCAACTGGACTCGAAAATAGCCACCCCTATTCCAAAGCTGTTAAGAAAACACTTGGTTTGTTTGTTTGTTTCCCTGTTGGGGCAATCCTGGAGCCATTTGCGTCGCTGCCATGGCTAAAGTGGGAGTGACTGGTGTTGCCAAACCAGCTGCCTGCACTGCTTGGAGACGGGCACACCCGGTGGTTTCAACGCCCACACCACGCACAACCAGGCTTTGCGGGGAATGGATATACTCAGTGCTCCCCTGCTCAGAAACTGGGCCACCCCAATCCATGAAGGTCACTGAAAAACTGGGATGGGGCCGTGGTGATAAAGCCTGGGCATCCCCCAGCACAACACACCTGCACGACAATGAAGTACCAGAGGACGTGGATGTTCCAGAAGTAGCCAAGGCCAAAAAGGGCAGTGAAGAACCCGCTCAGCAACATTCCCCCCGACAGGTAGTAACGTAGAGGGAGGCGCTCCCCAAAAATGCCGCTGCAGAGAGAGGGAAGAGCACGACCAGAGCCGTCACAGGTGACGCCACCAATGGGCATTATCACACTGAGCCAGTACTCGAATCCTGAGCGGATCCTTGGCTGCTTTCCTGTTAGCATGACCCCATCCCAATGGAAACCAGCTTCCGCCAGACTGGTGAGAACTGGTGAGTGGAGGGAAAGGCCCTGTGTACCTGATAAACATCCCGATGGCGTAGGCCACCAGGAAGGCATTATCCAGCGCCCCAAAAAGTTCCTTGTAGTTGTCCCCATCTGGAAAACAAATATTAGGGCCACCTCAGCCTGGCTCCCATCTTGTTCCCCCTTCCCGTGGCTGCTGGCTCAGCCTTGTCCCCCATTCCCAAAAGCCTGGTCTCCATGGTGGCTTCTGGGTGGGTGCCACCCGCACTGGGACCTGGTCCTGTCCTGTCCTGGACTTCACCACCCACTGCTGCCCTTCGGCCCAGGGGCATGGGACAGACTTTTATCACCTAATTACCTCCGGGTGCCTAATGAGCAGGTGGCCCCCAGCCAAACCCTGGCCACGACCTGGTCTTAGGGGATGGGGGGAGCCCAGTTCAGCTGCCACGAGTGTGGGTTTCGGGGTGCCTTGGGGGGGCTCAGCCTTACCAAAGGGGGCCCAGCTGCACCATGTGGTGCTGTTGGAGTCATTGTGGGGGTTTGGGCCCAAGGCTGAGCAGTTGGGGTGCAGCTGGCTCTGCAGGGAGAGAGAGAGGGGGTGAAATCAAGGTGCTGTCAGCACCCCCCTCCCCATATGGAAACCTCCAGGTTCCCTGTCCCCACAGCAGGGTGTGGTGAGGCTGGAGCTCACCTTGACGATGCTGATGGGTTTTCGGGAGAGGTGGTAGCTGCTGTAGGAGAGGAAGGTCAGTACCAGAGTCAGTCCCCGATAGCTGTGGGAGGGAGGAAGCGGAGGTCAGGGTTTGTGGGACAGGAGTGGGTGGCCTCAGAAGCCAATGGGACTCTTCTACTGGATTGGTGACCTGAACCAGCTCAGCAGAGCTGGTCAGGAAGTGAGCAGACCCCTCCAAAATACCCAGGATGCAGCTTAAAAAGATCAGCTGAGTTTTGTGGGGAGCATCAAGCAGTATTTCCACCTCCTCAAGCAGTTACATCCCACCGAAACACAGGGTGAGCAAGTGCCTTCCTAGTGTCACAAGTGGAAACTGCACTGATTCATCATCACTCCCAGGATTAATCAAAGATAAACTGGAAAAAAAAGTAGGGGGCTATACCAGCTGCCCTTCCTCCACCAAAAAGCCATTTCATCCTCTTTGCTTGGATTAAATGCAGGGAAATGGGGGAGTCTGGGCTCAGAAAATGGGGATGCCCATCAAAGCTGACAGATAAAGCCTGCAGAATCCCAGGTAGGATCTGGCACTTTGGAGCAAGATGAGTATCTCTGAAGGATCTCTGAGAATCCTGCCTTCAGGAAGGGTTTTATGGCAGCACAGAGGATGCAAGTGGGCAGGCTGCAGCACACAGACATGTCACGGGGTTGCTTCAAGTTCAGAAAAAAACAACAGCCCTTTTTTCGGTGGTTTTGGCCCATTCTGCTCCTCTCTGCAGTTTCACTTCTCCCTGGAGCTGCAGCAATGATGGGTGCCCTGCAAATCCAGGGCAGCTCCCTGTGCTGCGGTGCTGGCTCCAAGCTGTGGCTGAGAAACTGCTCCTTCCCACCCCAAAAAATTAATAAACCACCCAAAATCACTGCTAGTGACTGCAGGGCTGATCCAAGAGGAACAGAGAGGCCACAGTAGGAAAGGGAAAGATAAACTTCATATGTAGTGCCCCCCTGGGCCAGACACTTGTGTGTCGGGCTTTTTCTTTTTACCCTAAGTGTTCTGGCAGGGAAAATTCCAGCAGATGGAAAAGCAGGGGGAGTGTCTGGCAACGGGCTTCCAAAAAGTCCAAATATTAATTGAAATTAAATGGGCAGCAGTCCCATCACCTCACCAAAAGAGAAGGCAGCAGGCGAGGTCTCTGTGCTGGCCACATCCCACTGAATTTTCAGTGTGAAGGCCTGAGACATCTGGAGGCTGCTGGGTGCCTTCCCCGTCCCGAGGTTCCCCCTCCCCAGGCCGAGCCCAGAGCCCTGGGCTGCTGGGATGGCTGATCCCATCTCACAGTGGCTCCAGTGCCTGAGGGCGACGCTGGGCCCCCGCGGACCCTTCATCTCTATCCCCAGCCCAGGTCTGTCCCGGTGCCAGTCCCCAGACAAGTCAAGTGGTTTCCAGTCTGGCGCTGCTCCCAGTGCTGGTGCCCATGCTGGTCTGGGATCAGTCTCCATCCCAGTGCCAGTCCCTATGCCCAGGGCCAGTCTCCATCCCGGTTCCACTTCCAGTGGAATGACACTCCCTCCTCCCTAACCCAGGGCTGCTCCCTGCACCAGCTCCGCTCCCATCCTGCTGCCGGCTCCAGGGCCAACCTCTCTTCCAGTGCTGCCCCAGTAAAGAGTGAGCCCCGTTCCACAGACCGTCCCTCTGCCGTGCCCATACCCTCCCTGCCCGGTGTCCGTCCCTGTCCCAGCTCCAGTCCCGATCCCGGTCCCTCTGTGCAGCTGCAGTGGCGGTCCCGGTGCCGTCCCCCCCGTCCCGCTCACCGGCTGTCCCGGGGGAGGGCGCGGAGCAGGCGAACCCCGGGGGCGAGCGCTGCCCTCATGGCGGCGGCGGCGGCACTCGGGCACCCCCCGGCTCCTTTTCACCGCCCCCGGGGCCGCCGCTCCCGCCCCGCCGGCCCCGGTCCCGCCCCGGCCCGGCCACAGCCCCGGCTCCTCGGCCGCGAGGGGTGAACCGGGCTGTCCTCGCTCCCTCTAAAGCAAAAACCCACTTCAAATCCGGCTGGAACGAGGGAACAGCCGCGCTGGGCAGTGGGAGGCGGCAGAGCCCTGAAGGGACCGACCAGCCCTTTTCATGTCCCCCCGGGGCTCTGTGAGCTTCCCCAGATGCTGCATGTTCCAGCAGAAAAAAAACTGGATTGAACTTTTCCAGATTGAACATTCCCAGCAAGCCCCGAACAGACGTCACTGCCCTGATGGTGACAGCTACGCCAGACACGCTTTGGGGTTATTGCCCGGGATTCTGGGAGTCCTCTCCCCCCACCCCCTTTCAAATATCCCATTTATTCTGCTAGGGACAGATTGAGGCTGAGAAGCAGCAACAGATTTATTTATCCCTTTAACTAAGCCCCAAATCAGCCCACAGCCCCTTTGGGGATGACTCAAGAGAGGTAGGAACAGGGTTCCTCAGGGCCTGAGCAAGTTCCTTGGGGACTTGCCAAGGAACTGCTTGTCCTCAGCTGCCCGAGAGCTGAAATCAGTTACAAAAACCCATTTGCAGCTTTAGCCCTTTGCTTCCTTGCCCCCCTCACGGGGCAGATCCTGCCCTTTCCAAACCCACTCCAATACCCTGAATTAGGGCTGCAGCACCTTCCCCTGACGCAAGCAGCTGTTAATAAACAGCATCAGGCACCACGGATGTCTCAGTGAATGATTCTCCAGGGGAAACCGAGCAGCAGTCCTGGCTCTGTGACTCTGTGCTACCTCTGGACCAGGGGTGGGTTTGCTTTGTGCCCAATGGGATAGAAACAGGGAAAAGAAATGATCCGGCACACTCGGCCACCCATCCTTCCTGCCATAGTTAATATTGGAGAGGGCGGCCAGCAAGGAGCAAATATTAATGACAGGGTACGGAGTAACCTCTGCCCAGGACGTTATCTCACCACAGGCAGCTTTGGGAAAACCCATCTTGCTCCAGTCACTCCTGCAAAGGCCTGCACATTTTTTTACTACAAAAATGCTCCTTCCTTTCAGGAGCAAAGTAGAGGCTATGGGAGCATGGGTCAGGTAGGAAGCTATGTGGGTGTTACTGGAAGAAAGGTCCTCACACAGAAAAGAAGGAGGGAACAATAAATACCTGGCTCTGGAAAGTGATCCTAGTGGCAGGGGCTGGCAGAAGCCCTAGGAAAAGGAGAGAAGGGAGCAGGGAAAGGTTAGAAATCCTCCCTGAAGAGATACTGACCCCTGGCACCTCATTTCTCCTCCCTTCACACTTCAAATGAGACAAAGAATCTTTGAAAACAGTTTATTCCACAGTCAAATGCTGGAATGCAAGTGCCTGCCATAAACCAGCCCCACAGAGCAATTGCCTCCTTCACCTCGACCATCGCCCCGGCCAACCGCACACCTGGAGCAGAGTGGGAGAGGCATTCACAAACCAGAGCGCACAAGCCAGGAGAGCAAAGGTGACACCGTCCTGGCAGCTGGCGTGGAGGAGCAGGCAGGACACGGCACAGCCCCTCTCCCTGCTCACACCAGTGGCTGGGACACGGAGCTGCCTGGCTCACAGATGCTTCCCCGCGCGGGCACAGAGAGCAGCCAGGTCCTGGAGAGGCCGTGTGGCTGCATGGGCACAGGAGGAGATCACCGAGTGCAGCGCCTGGCTGTAGGCTGAGCGGGAGGGGGACACAGAAACACTATCAGGGCATGAGGGTTGCCCTTACAGCCCGAAACTGGGCTTGGCTCTAGCCTTTCACCAGAGCAGAGAGACAGTGATTGGGGTTTAAGGTAAATCGACATGCCTGTAGTTTTCCACACACCCATTTGCACACTCCCGAACATAAAGCAGTACTAAAGCCAAAGACCAATGAACCAATTCATGAACCCAAATTTCTCTATCTTCCCTCCCAGATTGCCAGTTGCCCAGCCAGGTATTTTCCCAAGGTGTGCTCAAGGTCAGAGCACTCCATCATCTAAGGTAGGCCCTTTCCACACCTTTGTGCATCCTCCCAGCAGAAGATTAGGCATTTAAGGCAGAGGGCTCTGTGTCCCTAATGAGATGCTTTTGCAGCATTTTTGTCATGGTTGTGTCCATAGTCACATGTGGCTGTGTCACAGCTGTGTTATTTAACACACTGTAGGGGCTGGTGCCTTACTGAGGATGCCACTACACTCCCTAAGGGACAGAGGTTGGGTCAAGCAGCAAAGCCCCTGACTTGCCTTCTTCAGAGTATATTTGGAGGAGAATCTCTGCACAGCAGCCCAGGAGAATGGAAACACCTATCCTGGATTGATTTCTCCCTTTATAATCAGGCCCAGATGTCTCCTCTCTGAAAGCAGGAGCTCCTACCTTTGTGGTTTTTGTAGAAGACGCAGTTATTGGCACAGGTATCCGGGTGGGAATCCCAGAAATCAGAGCCACAGGAACACAGTGGGGGCAAGTCGATGTTACAGAGTTTGACTTTCTCCCTCATCTGGGCTCTCAGAGCTTCAACATACCTGCAAGGGATCAAACATTCACCTCTGCCAGTGACACCTGGCTCTGCACAAGGAGCACACACTGGCTGTACCTCATGTGCTCCTTATCCCGCTGCTGTCTGTCCCTCACTCTCCTCTCCTCCAGCTGGAGCTGGGCCAGGGCTTCCCAGGCTCCCTCTCCCAGGGAGGGCTCTCGCTGCTCAGCCATGTCTCGCATCCTCTGCTCCTCTGCCCGGCGCTGATTCTCCGTCTGCCTCTTAATCCTGCAGGAACACACGTGCTTAGAGAAGGAGCTTCCCCATCCCAACCTCCATTCCTGGCTGATCCCTGGCTGTGAGGTCAGGGCACAGGAATCTGGGTGATGCTGCTGCTTTCAACGGCAAAAATAATTCTGCACTAATAACAGCATTAAATATAAATAAATATAAACCAATATATTAACTTTAAACATAAAATGGTCAAAAAGGCTTCCTGAGCCTCCATTCTTCCTCCCATATGGCAACACCAGCCTGTGAATGCTCTCCTGCCCTCAAACTCTTCCTGCCTGCTCGTTTCTCACCATCATGGACTTCCTCTTCCAGCTCCTTCCTGTATCACATCCACTCATGCTCCTGCCACCCACAGTTCCCCAAAGCTGTGCTTCTGTCCTTAAACAAAGCATGTAGGCTGGGCTCTTTCATACCCCCCAGAAAGTACCAACACCTTGGCTTCCCAGCTTTCCCACCTCCCACTGTTTCTGATTATGAGGCAGTCATAATCCTTGGATCCTTCTGTAAGCACCTTCCAGGACAGGGAAGCGTGACAGGGCTGGGTACAGCAGAGACATTCCAAGGATCCCACCTTTACTCTCAAACAAGCTTTAAGATGTATTTTTAACCAACTTTTCCTCTATTTCCTCAGTCTCCCTTGCACCTACATGGGCCTCCATCCCTTTAGTGGGACCTGGGTTGTGTAAGTCCCACCAAATACAACACACATTCCCCTGTCAAGCAGCAATTGCAAAACACAAAGACTTTACACCAAAGTATCTGACATTTTATTCCCAAATGCATCAATGTGTCTCAAGCCACTCCTTGCCAGGGGGCATTAAAACTAAAATCAAGGCTGGGAAGAAGCCAGAACAAGACATTTTGGACCTTACTTCACATAGGGGGTCAAATCTTTACATCCAGAAGGAAAGTGCTGAAGTCAAACTTCTCTGAGTTATAAACTCAGAAATGTTTTTAAATGAAATGTAGAACTTTAAGTATAGCACCATAAATCTGCTCCAGAAATTGAGGCCAAGGCCAGCTTGGGGCTTTACACCCCATAATTACAAACCCAGCTCCTCTCTGCACACACTTCAAGGGAAAAAATAATAATAAAAAAGGTATCACAGTAACTAGGAAGTCCCTGGGGCCGTGCCAGCTTTCACAGGGTGGGACAAGCTCTCCCAAACTCCCGAGTGCCATTGGAATGACAGGATGTGGCTCAAGGAGCACTGCTTTAGACTGGCAGTTCTTCCCCAAAAACGCACATGAAAATCCTGTCCTGTGGTGCCTGTCCCACTCCCCCAAAGCCTGATCACAAAAGCCAGGATGGTTGGATTTAGGTCAGTTCATTCAAAGGAAAGCCAGGGAAAAAACAAAAATTAGAGGATCTTTCCTATTTTGCTGTGAATTTGCAGAGCTTCTCCTTAGTGAACTCCTTCACAGCAGAAGCTGAGAAAACTCCACCACAATTGATACTTTTACACAGATACCAAGTGTTCAACTCTGGAACAAATGCCTGGAAATCATTTTATTACACTGTGTAAGTTTTTATGACTGTGAGGGTGAAGGGTCTGATACTAAAAATGCCACAGGGTATCACAGCTTAGCACAATGTGACCTCACCCCTAAGTTTCTAAACACGGGCTTAGGTTCCCAGAGTCATTGTTTGGGAAGTTGCACCTCTCCATGATTTGGCTCCCAACTCCTAAACAAGCTGCACAGGGACTTCAAAAGCAGATGGGGAAGTGCTAAAGGGCTCATCATGGCTCAAGGGTCTCTACTTGGCTGTGTGAATCCCACCCCAGAGGGTCACAAACCAGTACCTGCTTTACACCAGACAAACTCACAAGACTTCTCCAACCTCCTGAAGGACCCTGATGGAGGAGGTGACCCCAGCACCTGCACAGACTCACTGGGCAACTCTCTGCTGCCTCTCTCGCTGCCGCTGCTGTTCCCTCACTCGCTCCCGCTCCAGGGCCATGAAGAGGCGCCGGCACCGCAGGAATTCGCTCTGCCGCTTCAGGGAAGAGAAGGACATTTGGGAAGGATGTCTGGGATAAATATCAAGCTGTATCAGTGCTCAGCTTAATTTCTGGAGGACGGAATAGCGCTCTTTCCCCTAAAGACCCTCAAAGATCTCTGAGTGCACATGACCCAGGACTGGGAAGCTGGAGAGATGGCACTGAGGTAGGAAAGACCAAGTCATCTCGAAGCATTGGAGGGCTTTGTACCAGAGTCCATCCACTGAAGCTGCCTATGAGCTGGCAAATTCCTAAACTCTCACTTTGCTGAGGGGAAAAGAGCCAATTCCAGCTTCAGCCTGCTTGAATTTGGATCCACCTGGACACTGGTGCTCCCCTGCAGTGCATTGGAACCCTGTATCTCCTCCAAAAGATGAACATACGACACCAAGCTGGATTTTCTACATGCAGGGGAATCACAGACGTGGCAAAACCACTGCTGAGACAAATCCAGGGGCCCCACAGGGAAGAACTCCCATATGGATTCTGAGGGCTCAGTGTCTGGGCTTTGTCTGATTCCACTGATGCAGCAAGAGCAGGGAAACCTCCTGGCTAAAGCTCACATCAAAAGCCTTCCTGCCATGGGGTACAGAGATAGTTTGAGCTCCATGACTCCCGAAAGTTTAATACATAGATTTTTCCTCATGAATGCCAAAACCTTTGGGCTGAGTTTGTCCACCTCACTTGGTGGAGAGAGCCCAGCACAGCTGGAGATAAAGGAGGAGGAGAAGAGATCAGCGACCAGGCTGCCAATGAAGAAAACCGGATGGAAAAAACCCAGGCAGAGGAGAGGGCCGCAAAACCAGTTATCTTGGATGGATCAGAGCCAAGGAGATTAAAAGCAAGGGGAAAGGGAATGGCAGGGTTAGGAGGAGCAGCCTGAGAAGCCCCAGCTGTTGTCACGCTGGCGAGAAACCACAACCATATTTGGGATCAGTTGGTTGGAAAACACTTGTAAGAAACAAAAAACATGCAAATTGTTCAGAGTTTTAGCTGCAAGCTGCAAGAAAGGTGACAAAAGGAGAGAAAAATGTTCCTCTCCATGGCAGGAGGAAGCAGGAAAATAAAAGTCATTGGCTTTTGGCATCCAAGACAAACATCATCACTCTGTATCACGCAGATTAGCGTGAGCCAAACTGTCCAGGACACAGGCTGTAAACCATCACTGTGAAATCATCCACTTGGCCGCAGGCTGGGCTTGAGGCTATTCCCAAAATCAGAGAAACCTTTATATTCCAGCCTTGTATTTAAACAAGATAAAGTTGGCTTTGTTCTTTCTTCTTTTTTTTTTTAACCATTTTTGGCAGCTTCTTGGGCTCCCTGCAACTACAGCAAGTACCCCTTGGTTTTGCCAGGCAGAATGAAAGGAGCCTGCTTCTCCTTCAAACTTCTGGCATTATTGAGATCCCAGATTTTGCAGGAGGAGTAGTTAACTGTTGCACTTAATAGCAGAGGTTTTAAAAAATAACTTGGTAGCTTTGCCCAAGACCTGAGACACCATCAAAGCTGACAAACTAAACCCAGTACGGGTTCCATACTGAGGTTTCTTATTTGAGCCAGCAGCACTCCCAACACCCAATCCCTTTCAAACAAAACCACAAGGGCTTGGCTGTCCTGGACAGACCTGCTTCCTGGTTTCCTCTTGGTCAACACCAGCCCAGAGTTTGAGGGGAGATTGGTATTTACTGTGTGGCCTCCCAAGCAGGCTCGAGTCCTTCACTGACCCATCACAGACCTGAGAGACAATGGAAGAGAGCAGCATCAGCATCACCACACTTCTTTTTCATCTTCCCCCAGCAAAATGCTCTTTACTGAAGGCAGAGCCTCTGTGTGATCCCTCCAGACCTCAGTGGGATTTCCCACCTTGGAAATCTGCTTTGTCTGGGGTACAGGTTGGCCATGAACAGGAGAGAAGTGCCACATCTCAGCACTGAGCACCAAAGCTTTGTCAAAACATCTCTAGAAATATCCTTGGAGGAGGGTTCTGTTTTAATTTAAATATGGATACACATCTCCCCATCCCAAACTTCTATTATGAACTTCTGGAAGTGTGAGTGAAATATCTAAATATAAGGGGAATTGCACAGCCAACATCTCCCAAAACCTCAGTGTAAACCTCAGCATAAACTTCTGCTGTGTCTCTATCTGCCCAGCAGTATTTCTACTCCAAACTGGACTAATCCCCAGCCAAGGCTGGGCACACACTACCACAGCCATAAAGCCTTTGCCACCACCCCAGATAATCAGGATCAACCATTTCCACCCCTGAGATGCTCAAAAAAAGCTGCCTGAAAACAAAAGAGGAAGGATAAGTACATCAAGCCCCCCTCAACCCCTCCTAGGGCAGGGCCTGCCACCCCCAGGCACCAGGATTGCCACAGCCATCTCCTTCCACTGATACAAAGCTTTTTTTCTTTTCCCCTTCTTTTCAACGAGTTTCTGACTGATTTGATCCCTTTTGATCTCTTCCACCCTCGGGTCTTTCGGTGTGGTCCGAGCATGGCTCTGGGTATGATGTGACTGCATGCCCTCAGTTTCAGCTTTCACCTGGGCAACTGCCAAATGGCACCACAAGCAGGCAGGAATCCAAGGCCACAACTGTACATGAAAGCAGGGAATGGCAGTGCTGACCTCACTGAGCTCCAGTACTGCTCCCGAGCCCACTTTGAGGATGATAGGCTTAAGAGTTAAGCAACCCTGAGGGAGCAAGTACTCTACTTCAAGAGCAGCCTCTTCCAGACATCAAAATAAATCTAATGAACCAAACCTCTTAAGACCAACTTTGCACGAGCCTTACTTTTTTAAATTCAATTTTGATGCAGAAGTCATCATCCTGCGCAGCGCTGTTTGTGGCTGTGCCCTGCTCCAGCAGCTCAGCAGGCAGATCGTGGTGTCCTGCCAGCAGCAGCTCCTCACTCTCCTCCATGGCCACTGCAGCTGCCAGGCAAGGGTCTGGTTTCTGGAGAAGGGAGGACATGGGTGTAAACGTGGAATTGAAATCTGGCTGCTTTGGTGCCAAAGGAAAACTGAACACCCTTGGAGCAGCTTTAACACACAGGAGGCTGTGTGTGCTGTCACTTGAATGGGATCTGGCAGCACCATGTGTTCAGCAGCACCATGGGCCACCAGAGCTGGGAAACAGGAATGTAGCAGGGTGACTGTGACTGTGCCCTCCCCAACTGCAGAAGCAGTGGGACAGACGTGTGGGGTGAAGAGAAGACAAGGCAAAAACCTCTCCAGGCACTATTTCACAGTGGCAAGGAGCTGGGATCTCTGAGTGACACCCGAGTACAGAGTACACTCCTTCAGATGGGAAGTGGGCAGGCTCCCCAGTGGCAATCCACAATATTTTGAGAGGCAGCAGATTGTTTCCTACAAACTAAAGAATCAAAATGCCAGAAGCAAGCTTGAAGCCAGGATAAATCTTTTTCCCTTGCTTTCTTTTTTCCCTTCCGCATGGTGGGAAGGGAAGTGCAGGACTGCTGACAGAGGGAAAGGATGGATCAGTAGAACAGGTGATGCCAAGAATTCCTTGATATGGCTCTGCTGCTGTTTGGGAAGGACAGAGAATAGTCTGGAGTCAGTCTGAACATGGAATTATTTGACAGGCACAGGAATTACTCCATCAACCCCATTATGACAGAAACATGATAGAATAGCTGCTTTGGTAAGGGTAAGGGAATAGAGGGGAAGGGTTATTGCTTTGGAAGGTTGCTCTGGAGCACTGAAGGTAGAAAGACATGAAACTGTGGAAAAACACCACCAACTTGGTGGAATGGTGCCATGCTGGGGAGCTACAGATGTCCATCAAAGCCTGAAGGCAAAGACTCAGTAACAGGATGAGCTGGAACACTGGACAGGTCATTTCCAGGCAATTACTATTCCTGTATCTGCTTGGGAAAGCAGGCAATTAACTCTTTGCTTTCAACCTGAAAAGAAATCTTGAGGGGAGAGAAAGAGCAACAATTTTAGGAACATGGATTACTGATCACAGGGAATGCAACACTTCACAGGGAGAAAGGAAAAAGAAGAAAAATTCAGAAAGCAGGACTGAAGGGGAAAAAAACCCAGTTCAGCCAAAGACTTGCTTAGAGTTAGCCACATCAGGGAGAAAAATGCTAGGACTATTATTGGGAAGAAAAAGTCAGGTTATTCCTAAAACTGAGGATTTTAAGGAGGATGGACCTGTCCTGGGCTGCTGCCAGGAGTAGCAGCTAAGGTGCAAACAGCTCCCCAAAATCTATGGAGGTCCAGATTATCAGAAAAGGGCACAAGGAGTGCCTTTCTTTATTTAAAGGAGAGGAAAAGGAAATACCAAATAGAAGATTTTAGCCTCAAGAGTTTAACTGTGACTGTTACTGTTGACAAAACTAGAGGAAATCACCTTGCAAACTGCCTGTAAGCCACGAGAAAACAAGATAAGCAGCAACCAGCATAAATTTGTCAAGACTGAGTCAGGTCAAGCTAAGCTGAATGTCTCCTATAATAGAAGGAAAAGGCCTCAGGCAAAGAGCAGCAGAAGACTCTGGGGTTCAGCTGAGCTCTTGACATGGCCTAATTCAGCACTGGGGTTAAGCAAAACCTCATAGATGGAAGTCTGATGTGGGATGTGCAAAACTGATTAAAAACGTGGCCCACATTTGGTCTCAGGAGTTCACTGCACAGAAACAGGGTAAGAACAAGGTGGGCTCTGCTCTTTGATTTCATTACCAGCCTGGATGAAGGAAGAAAGAAGCATTTTGATTAAGCTACTAACCCCATTTGCATTGTAGAAGTATTGGGTGAAAAAACCCATGGGTTCAAACAGAAGAAATGAGCTGGAATACAAAGCACAAGGAAATCCAGGGAGCACAAAAGCAGAGGCAGCACTACCAAGGGGGTTAAGTCCATGGTTATATCTGTGGCAGCCTTTTGCACCTGATGGGAACACGTTGCTGTCCTGCCAGGCTGGGAACATGCCAAACCTTCATACTGGGAGAGATTCAGATTAATATGGGAGCTTTTTTCTCCTCATATATCATGGAGTAATAAAACAGAGCAATGCAATAAATCAATATATTCTTCCTAGAATTAATCAGGGAAGCTGTTAAACTTCCTTATGTAGATTAACTGTAGCTGCAGTGAGGCTGGGATGGGAGGATGGTCCCAAATCCCTCCCAGTGTTTCTCACTGCTGTGGATGACTTGCCCAGGACTCCCACAGATCTCCTGTAACTCTCTGGCTCACCTGGGCAGTGGCTTTATTTTTTATGTGAGGTCATGAATCAGCTCATCTCACTGAATGCATTAATGGCTCAAACAAGAAGGATGTTTGCTGGAAACACGTAACGAGGATTTTGAGACCATAATTAATGTGTTTCTCTGAGTCCTATTTGCAGAGCTGTCTTCATCAGAAATCCAAGAGTACAAAGAAGAGGAAGAGCCAGACCAGCCCTTCTATAAAAGGTAGTTTCTAGATAATCAGCAAAGATCTATTTCACCTTTGGTGAACATGAGAAATAGAAGGGAATGAAGATTTACAGGATGGGCAGGAAACTGGCTCCAGAGCCAATAACACAAAACACCAGGCTGGGCTGCTCCTGGTGCTCTCCAAAGTACATCAGTTTAAGAAAGGTCTTGGCATAGAGACTGGGAAAATAGCTACAACACAAAGGTGTTCTTGAGAACTGAAGGAGCAAAAGCAGGATGAAATTCAGCAGAACAAAAGGTGGGACTGAACTCCTTCCACGCATTGCTTTGAGAAAAGCATGCCAACCATTCTCTAGCAGAAGTCAGCGCCGGGTGAGGAAAACCTCTCCAGATCTTTGCCACCCACACAAAACAAGGGACTGATGTAAAGGGAAGAGTTGTTGAGGTTTGAAGAAATAAAGGCACCTGAAGGGAGGGCTGGTCATCACATTCCTCCCAGATACCCAGATCACAATCTCAATCTTTAAAAGTCTTTTTTGCATTCTTGAGTTCATCTCAGAGATGTTTTCACACACTTTATCCTGTTGTCTTCTCTGAAATGAGTTACCCATGAGGTGTGTCAGGAAAGCACAGTTTATTTCATTCCTGCTGGAGAAACATCCTGAATTATGTTTTGGATTTGCTAGTTAGAGCCAAACCTTCAGCAGTTTTCAAGGTGATTTCTCTGCCCTCAGCCCAGACAGCTCTTGCTCACCTCCTGCCTCCAGGCACCAGGGGACATGCGGGCCACGGTCCTGCGGGACGCCAGCCTGCGCCGCACCTGCTGCACAGCCCTGCTGAGCTGCACCCAGAGGAGAGGCAAAGGAAACACAGGACAAGTTCATCTGCATGGAGACATCTCCCAGCCAGTCTGCTCCAGCCAAGAAGTTCAGTCAAGGCAGCACGACCCAACACACAATCATCCAAGGGTCTTTTAGAGCTGCCCAAGGTACCAAAATCCTGATCCAGGCAACTCACCTGCTCCCAAAACATTATTTCTGAGATACCAGATCCCAAATTTTCTTGCTTGGTATCCAGCCAGAAGTGATTTTCCATCCCAAGGTACTTCAACTGGAATGCATCCCATGGTGCTTCAACTGGAATAACCCCAGCTCCTAGGTGAGCACACAGGCTTTCTAAGACACCAAAGGCACCACAAATATCACTATTAAAAAAACCAAAAAAAACAAAAAACAACCTAAACAATCCTGAAGGCAGGTTTTCCCAGATTTTGGTCTACACAAGACAAGCTGCAATGAGGTGGCACCACCTAGTGCCACCTCTGCGCCAGGACACGCCTGGGAAAACACCGTGCCTGCCAGCAGCCAGACCAGTACAGCCACAGCACCTGGGGCGAGCCACCCAGCTGGATGCTCTGAGGAGCACGACAGCATTCAGGGTGACAATATGAGCTAACCTTTCATTCAATATCTAAACACAAATACTAGGGATGTGCTGTAGAAGAAAAAAAAAACCACGGCCCATTCCCCACTTCTAACACGGAGGATCCAAAACGCCGAAGCAGCGATGGAAGGGCAGGGCTCACCTCAGCAGCTTGTTGCTGGAATGGCTCCCCAAGCTCCTCTTCTGGCTGGGCTGGACCCAAGCCAGCACCGGGCCCACAGATGATGGGAGCAGGGAGACCCTGGAACAGGCACGTGTTCTTCCAGGGGGCCGAGCACTGTACAGCAACACAGCTCTCCCTCTCCGCCTGCCAGGAAAAAGCCAGTGGGATCTCCAACCATGATCCAGCAAGATGTCAACTGTGGTGACATTTCACCACCCTTGGGTGAAATTTCTTGGGAGGGAGGTTTTGGTTTTCCATGCTGAGAGAATACAAAGAACCATCAGGCTCTCTGGGGCCGAGGGCATTTGCAGCTTCCTGCTTGGAGCTGGCAGAGTTACATGAGGACATCCTTAGTCAGCCATGGAAACAGCCCAAACACCCCAAGGGTGGCCAAAGCTGGTGACATGTCAGTGCATTCTCTTTTCTGCCACAGTCAGATCCTGGCAAGCTTCCCCAGTACTTGTTTGAGAATAGAAAGAATTAAATATATTCACAGGATAATCCAAAACAAGCCCATGGGGGAAAATGGAATGTGGAGACAGAGGGGAAGTGTTGTTTGAAAACTTTGGCTGCTCTGGAAAAGGGATGGAAGTGACAGCAGAAAAACTGCTTGACTTTAAATGCAGCCAGGACATCCACATCATTCCCAACTCCTGCCTGGGTGTTTAACTCCAGGCAATTCCACAGAGAGCTTCAGAACTCTGTTCTGCTGTTGCCTGAGGGAGCCAGTAACCTTCCCCTGAGGAGGCTTCAAAGCACCTCCAGCAACAGCCAAAGTGTCACGGTGACCCAGCCTGCTTGGACACTGCTTGCCACCACAGGGTCTGGAACCTCAGATTTTCTCATTAACACCTTAAGGTGTTGACTTAAGATCCAGTGTTTGGATTTCTCCCAATTTATGTTGGGTTTGGAGGAGTTTCTCCCAACAGAGCCTCACTTACTGCTTCGTAGGCCTTCTGCAGCTCCTGCCTCCGGCGCAGCCTGACCTGCCGGTTCACCCGCTGCCTCACCTCGCCCTGGAACCTCCTCAGCCTGGCTGCCTTCTGCTGCTGCTGCTCCTTCAGCTCCTCCTCCACCTGGAATACTGAAGCCTGGGAGAGGTGGAAGCAGATTTCACCAGGGTTTGGCTGCACTGTGGCATTAGAGAAGCCTGTATTCCTGTATTTCCCTTTCCCCCAGAGCAAACTTTATGTTTTGTTCCAAAATATGTGGAATAACAGCTTGGACAATATCTACTGGGTAATTATGGACTGGATTGGGTCTGATTAGAGATACAGAGCATGCACACCTCTGCCTTTACCTCTTTGCAACATACACGGAAGGAAAGAAAAAGGAGACCCTCAGAGCAGCTCCTGCTCCCATGAATGGATGCTCAAATATCCAAGGCCTGGATCCAAAAGGAACAGGCCAGCCTCTGATCCTGTTAATTTTCTGCAAGGCTGGAAGCACATCAGGGAAGCAGTTCACAAAGCACAGGACTGCTCTGGAATGTCTTTACCATCTGAAGTGAAAGATTAAGAGCAATGACCTGAAAACCCCCCAAAATCCCATTTTATTCTCCTTGCAATTTTGCCAAGCAACTCTGCAACACCATCATGGCTTAAATTAAAGCAGCACTGCTCTCCTTGCTGCCTACACAGCAAGAGAAACCAGAGACTGAAGGGATGGAGAAAAGGGATGAGGCCAAAGATGAACTTGGAACAGCAGGGTCAGCACAGGCAACAGGCTGGGATGGGGAGAAATCTGCACTGTTAGGGATGGAACCAAGACAGTGCTCCAGGGAACAGCCCAGTGCCAGCTCACCCACTGCCCACCTCAGCAGCAACTGATGCATTAGGCATTACTATGGATTAATTAGAAGTGTATTAAATAAGCTCAGATAACCCTGGGCAGCTCCATTCACCTCTGGAAGCCCCATATGGGGGGCCCCAGGAGCATCCAGGCCCCCTGAAGCTGTCAGGAAAAGTTCAGCTCCCCCAGAAGTTTCACAGTACCAAAATGGAAGTCCTGTGGAATATGGAGATGACTGATTTCCATAAATCATCTCAACCTTTCAGGATTTAAATTAAAATATAGAAATAAATCATCTCAGAAGGGCAGGAGCTTCTATAATGTTCAGACATTAATTACAGGGGACTGAATTCATCATCCAATATTTAATGCACTTTTAGTCCTCTTAGAATAACCCTCAAAACAGAAATCCCTCAGATAAGCCTCCATGAAGATTTCCTTATGTGTTTCTAACAGGGTACAGTGGAGATTGGCTCCAGACCCTGGAACACTCAGCTTATTTTTTATTTTTTTAATCATCAGCATAGAATAAAATCTCAGCTCCCTGACATCTTTTAGGGATGAGTGGGAAAGCGAGAAGCAGCACTGGCTGGGTTCCCCACCTGACTGATGCTTAAAATAGATGCATTTCTCTCCTAAAAAACACAGTTTATTCAAGGGGGATCAACTCCGAGAGATGTTGTGGGCTTGTGCAAAGGGGAGGCCAGACTACATGGACACGTAGCAGCTTATGACCCTGCTAAATCACATTAAAACAAATTATTATTTCTAGGAGACATGTTCCTGGCTGCCCTCAGGCTGTGAAAAGGATCACTTTTGGCTTTGACCCCCTCCCTGTGAGTTTTACTGGCACTTTGAAGGATCCGAAATGCCCCAGCAGATGGTGCCCTCGGTGCACTCACAAAGGCCGGGCTTTGCTCTCCGGGCGCACTCTCCACCCAGGCTCCCACGGGCACCACGCTCTGGTTCCTCTCGGCCAGCACTCGCCATCCGCGCTGCAGGGGTGCCGCCTGCTGCCTCCCCGGGGCCCGCCCGGCCCCCCGCCGCTGCTCCTTCGAGGGGAGCCCCATGCCGGCACCCCTGCGGAGGGGGAGCCGAGGTGAGGGTGTCTCGCCGGGCATCCCAACCCGCAGCCGGCCCCATCTCCTGCTCTCAGCACCCCGGTGCCCTCCCAGCTCTCCAGCCCACCTGCAGCTCCCCGCTCTGACCGCGGACCCCCAGCCCTTCTCTACCCCCATCACTGCACCCTCTCTCCACACTGCCCCCCGTTATCCAACCCCACGGCACCCCGCCTTCAGCTCCGCCTTCCCCCGAGGGCACTCAACCCTTCGTGCTCAAATCTCCCTGCGCCCCCCATCCCAACCAGCCCCTCCCCAAGCACCTCATCACCCCCCCGGGGACTCCCCTGTGCCCCCGTACCCTCATCACCTCATCCAGCCCCGGGCAGTGCCGCACCGCCTCGGGCCCATCCTCCCGTATCCCGCCCCCCAATCCCCCCCGGAGGCCTCCGCACCTTCACTCCCCGTAACCCCCTGGCCGAGCCCCGCGGAGCCCCCTCAGGCCGCACCAACCGCCACTTCCGCCGCCACCGGAGCTTTGAATCCCGGCGCCACTTCCGCCGCACGGCCGCGCCCCGGCCACGCCCCCGGGAGTCCTGGCCACGCCCCCGGGAGTCCCGGTCACGCCCCCGGGAGTCCCGGCCACGCCCCCGGGGGTCCCGGCCACGCCCCCGGGAGTCCCGGTCACGCCCCGAACACCTTTTGGCCACGCCCCCTATGTTCCCGGTCACGCCCATCTGGCCCCGCCTCCCCCAAGCCCCGCCCACTCCTGCATAGCCAACTCCCGGCCACGCCCAGCCGCAGCCCCTCAGGGTTCTGAGGTCCCAAGTTCGAGTCCCGCCTCCGGTGGAAAGGGGGTGGAGGAACTGTGTGCCTCAGAGCATCCCTGAAACTGCCCCCTGAGCATCCCTGGAACACCCCACACAGGGGATCCCCGTGCAAGTCACTCCCAGATATCCTTATAGTGTCTCACCACAGCATCCCTGACCCCCTCCGAGTATCCTCTTACAACATCTCCACACAGCATCCACCCAAAGCACCTCCCCATAGAGTGAATCCAAAGCATCTGCCTTACGAGCCTTCCCCCCTTAATGTCTCCGCAAAACTCCCTGAAAGCCTCTTCCTGTAGCATCCCCCCACACCCCTCCTTGTAGGGTGTCCCTATAGCGCCCTCCCCAAAAGTCCCCCAAGCCCCAGCCCTGTGCCATCTCCCCATAACGCGTCTCCCCCAAAGCATCTCCCTCCCTCTGGACCAGGATGCTTGGAGGCATCGATCCCCTTGGGGGGCCAGGGAACCTCCGGGGGTGTGGGCGGTGGCTCATTGGGGTGATGAGCTTGGCAGGCCTCGGGAGGGGGGTGGGAAGTGGCTCCGGGCGTCCTGCCTCACATCCCGCTGCCCTATTCAGCGATGCCCGGGGAACCAGCGCTAATTGGCATGGAGTTGGAATGAAGCCTGGATGCCACCGGCCTTCGTTTTAGAGCCTGGGAAGAGGGGGGAAAAAAAGCGAGGGGGAGCTCCTTTGGGGGTGGGGGGTTCAGCTTTGCAAATTATCTCTCCTAAAGAAAACCTCGGCTTAGCTTAATGGGATGTTCAGAGCCCAGAATCCCATTGGATTGTCCGCAGAGGGGATGGCAAATCTTAGTTGTACTCCATGAGGATGCCCCCCACCCCAAATGTGCCCCGGGGACTGGCAAAGCATGGAACTGGGGGTCTGTAACCGGGGAAAAAATTGCAAATCTGAGTGGTTTTTCCTCAAATAAATGTCAGCTCGAGGCCGCCGAGGAGGCGAAAGCCACCAGGACACAGGGCTCTATTGAGAAGGGACAGAACAGAAAAGAAAAAGAAGAAAAAAAAAAAAAAAAAAAAAAAAGGGAAAAAAATAAATTAGCCGGGCGAAGCGCCAAGCCGGGAGCTCCGAGGGACGTGCCCAGAGTGGGGAAGCGGAGCAATTCGGGGGGCGAGCCTGCCCGAAATGTGGGGAGCGCCGGCTGCCCCGCGGGGCCACCCCGCTCCCCCCTGCTTGCTGCCGGTGACCTGGCTTCTGGCGCTGCATGCAGGTAGGGAATTTTCCCATTTTTCCACGGTTTTCCCTTTTTTTCCATGGGTCTTGGGGGTATCCAGATGGAGGATGAAGGCCGGGGGGGGTGATGAGGGTGGTGATACCCTACGGGGGGGGTTGGAGGGAGGGTTGTTGCGCTGTCGAGTGTACCCTCTGCTCGGGAGCTGGGAAAAAATGGGGCAAAATTGGAATAGAAAACGGGGGAAAACAATTTTCTGGAGCCAAGCAGGTCCTGATGTGGGGGAGGATTTGGCACCGCCCCCACCCTGAGCTTCTCCCCATTTTTTTTCTTTCCCAAATCCCATTTTTTCCTCATTTTTTAGCATCTCCAAATATTTTTTTTTACCCATTCTTCAGCTTTCCTTTAAAACTCATTTTTCACCCCATTTCTAGGCTTGCCTCATCCCACTGCAACACCAGTTTTCTCCATCATTTATTCTCTAAATTCTCACATTTTGGAATTCAGTGAGCCCCAAACTGCCCCATCCCAGGTCTGGCAAGACTGAAAATAACCTTCGACAATTTTGTTCCACTTTACCAAAGTTTGCACCCAAAAGCAGCCCTGGGGAGGCCCCATTTCCCTTCAGATGAGCAGGAAGGATGAAAAACAAAACCATCTGGGGTTCTTTGCTGCTTTGATTTAGACTCTAAAAAACAGGGCTGTGGCCAGAACACCCCAAAAATGCTGCTGGGTTTTTTTGTTGTTTGGGTTTTGTTTTTTTTTTTTTAAAAAAAAGGGATTGTGCTACGAAATAGTGTGAAAATGAGGATTTTTGGTGGGCTTTTTTCAACAAAAGCCATTGAAAGGGGCTGAGAGATCTCCATCCCTAAGCCAAGGATGCTGGAGGAAAATGGAACGTTTCCTGATTTATTAATGAACTCCCAATTTTTTTATCCCAAGTGGAGACAAAATAATTAGGAATAGGGTTAAATAAAGGGAAGAAACAGTTAAAGAGCAGCGATTTGGTGGTGCACAGGGAGGGGGCAAGGATGCATAGAAGGCCACATCCCCATCCCATGCCTTGGCCTTCCCCCTGGGGTGAGGGTTCCCCTAAATTTGGCGAGTCAGGACATGTTTGTGGGGCCGAGCGCGGCGCTGCCGGGGAGGACGGACGGACGGATGCTGCATACCAATAGGTCCCATGACTTTTCGGGCTTGTTTAAAGCCTTTCTTGCTCCTGCTTCACCCTGCCCAGCTGGTTTTCCCACTCTCCCCTCCTCTTCAATATGGGGTTTGTTCACTGTTGATGATGGTATCCATATGGGGGGCTCACGAATGGGACCTCTGGGATGTCAGGAGGGGGATGCTATGGTATTTTGGGGAGGGAGAGTGTTTTGGGGAGTCCCCTCCCCCAGAAAATCATGTTTTTACATTTTTGCCTGCCTTTTTTGGCTTAAAACCAGTGATGAGGAGCAATGCACGTGCACAGACTCTCGTGATGCGGTTTTGCATCTGAGGGGGCTTTGTCTAGACAGGAACATCCAATGTAGATGGGGGTGGGACAAAATCCTTCCCCCCACCATTTTTGGGGGAATTAAGGTATCTTTGCAAAGCACTGCACTGATCCAAGCACTGGCGTCTCTCACTCCCCAGGCAGCTTTTGCAGGGCAATGATACAGCTTAGCCAAGAGTTGCCTTGACCTGCCTCCCACCCCCTGCATTTCTGCAAGTGAAGTGTGCATTTTTGCAAAGGGTTGCATCGACCTAGCTGCAGGAGCACTCCCCCTGCATGTTAGGGGGTGATAGACGAATTTCTGCCAAGAGTTGCACTGACCCAGGTGCAACTACCCAAGCCCTGCACATTTTGGGGGCACCACATGCATTTTTGCAGAACCCAGCAACAGGATGTATGCTGTCCACACATCTCCCTTGCATTTTTGGGGTGATGCATGCATTTCTGCAAAGGTTTGGTTACATTAACCTGGCTGCAGGAGCACTCCCACCCCTAATGCAGCTTTGAGGGGTGATAATGCATCTTCACAGGAGGTTGCATTGACCCACCTCCCATGCCCAAAGCCATTTTGGGGATGATTCCTTCATTTTTACAACATGTTGCACTGATCTGAGTGCAGGAAGGCTCCTACCGCTCATGCACTTTTGGGGTCATGCGTGCATCTTTGCAAAGGTTCCAGAACCAAGCTGGGCACCTTGAGGGTGCTCAGCACAGCTCCAGCTTGGGGTTTCCCTGTTTTCTCCATGCTCGGCACTCCACTGTCTCTCCCCACACCCCAAGGTCTGCTGACAGGGGTGAACATCACCAGCCCCACTCCACTCGTCCGTGGCACGGCAGGCAAAGCGGCGCTGCTGTCAGTGCGCTACGCCAGCGCCAGCGCTGACAAGCCAGTGGTCAAGTGGCAGCTGAAGAGGGACAAACCTGTCACCGTCGTCCAGTCCATCGGCACCGAGATCATTGGCAACCTCCGACCCGACTACCGCGACCGCATCCGGGTGCTGGAGAACGGCTCGCTGCTCATCAGCCCCTTGCAGCTGGCTGATGAAGGCGCTTACGAGGTGGAGGTGTCCATCACTGACGACACTTTCACTGGCGAGAAGACCATCAACCTCACCGTGGACAGTAAGGGCAAGAAGGACACCCAGTGGAGACTGAATTATCCATGGGATGTCTTCCCTGACCACATACTGGGAGGGCTTTCTCCAACTGGGAGGTGGTTTGGGGGGTTTCCACCACCCTATGTAGTCAAGCTGGTGTGATTTTGATGTCTCTCTTCCTGTCCCCTGAGCCCATCTGTCCCCTGAGACATGGCATCACCGTGGTTCCTCTACTTGCCCACAGTTCCAATCTCAAAACCACAAGTGCTGGTGGCCTCCTCAACGGTGCTGGAGCTCAGTGAGTTCTTCACCCTCAACTGCTCACACGAGAACGGCACCAAGCCCACCTACACCTGGCTGAAGGATGGGCGGCCGCTGAGCAACGACTCCCGCCTGCTCCTCTCCCCTGACCAGAAGATCCTCACCATCACCCGTGTTCTCATGGCTGATGATGACGTCTACAGCTGCCTGGTGGAGAACCCCATCAGCCATGGCCGCAGTATCCCCGTGAAGCTCACTGTTTACCGTAAGCCACCCTTTCTCCCCTCCTGCACTCCCAGGTTTGGCCATCCCTTGCAGATGCTTTCAGCAAAAATTTCTGGGGGGTTGTCCGCCCTCATTCCTCTCCTGCAGGCCGGAGCTCTCTCTATATCATCCTGTCCACAGGCGGCATCTTCCTTCTTGTCACCCTGGTGACAGTTTGTGCCTGCTGGAAACCCTCCAAAAAGTATGTGTGGGGATAACATGGGAGACAAGGGGGGTTGTACCATCTTGTCCCATCCTGCCTTGTCCCATCCCATTTTGTCCCATTTCATCTCTTCCCATCCTATCTTGTCCTGTCCCATACCATCCTGTCTCATCACATCTCAACACATCCTACCTACCCCATGTCATACCGTGCTGTGCCATCCCATCCCATCCCATCCCATCCCATCCCATCCCATCCCATCCCATCCCATCCCATCCCATCCCATCCCATCCCATCCCACCTTGATCCATCTCTCCTGCACTAATCTATTCTATTCTCTTCCATCATCTCATCCCATCTTGTCCTATTCTGTTCCATCTCATCCTTTTCTATCCCATGCCATGCCATCCTGTTCCTTCCCATCCCATCTCTCTCTCCCTGCAGCACTTGACCCTTCCCTGGATGAGCCATAGGCAGTTCCCCCATCACCTCTAACACAAAGCCACTGCTGCCCCATCCCCTATCCCTTTCCAGGGAGAAGCGACAAGCGGAGACACAACCAACCTCTGACTACGCGGAGCAGGATGAGGAGCGCCTGAAGCACGAGGGTGAGTGCTGGAGCATGGCAGTGGAGGGCTGGGGGAACACCAGTGCTTCTGGCATGGTGAGCAGCACCTTGCTTCCACACAGCCGAAGGCATCCCACGGAGTGGCGAGCACGAGCGCAAGAACCCAGTGGCTTTGTACATCCTTAAAGATAAGGTGAGAGCCAGTAGCACCAGCAGCACCAGTAGCACATCAGCAGTGTCCCAGCACCGGGTCTCACACATGTCCCATGTTCTTCTGCTCTTGGCTTTTGGCAGGACTCGCCAGAGGCAGAGGAGGATTCATTGCCTGAACCCCGCGGCACAGTTGAACCAGGCTACACCAGCTCACCAGTACCAGCAGCCGGACGCTCACCAGGACCAGTGGGGCGTTCGACTCGCCGTTACCATCGCTCGCCAGCTCGCTCACCCGCCTCGACGCGGACCCACCGGTCACCACCGGGTTCCCCGGCACGTTCCCGCGGCGCTCCACGGCTGCTGCGGACTGCCGGCGTCCACGTTATTCGGGAGCAGGAGGAGGCCAACGCCGTGGAGATCAGTGCCTGAGCAGGGGGGACTGTGCGCGCTTTGGTGGCAGCGTGCAAGTGAGCAGGGACACCAGCACGGCCACATTTCTGCCACTGAGCAAGCGGGGACACCGGCACAGCCCTGCTCCCACCACTGGGCGTCATTCTGCTCGGCGTAAAGTCACTAATTTCCTATTGATCCCACCCAGAGCTCCCCTCTTCCGTCCCCCATCTTCCTGGGGCATCGCTTTAATGGCTTTCTCGCCGGGACGAGTGTGCAGGGAGCGTGCAGAAAGCACATGCGTGTGCAGAGAGAACATGCAATCATTGCACGGAGAGAGTGTGCCAGAGGGTGTGCATGGAGCATGCAGAGAGAGCGTTGGAGCGCTGCACAGTGGAAGCATGCATGGAGCGTGCAGGAGGGCGCATGGACTGTGCACACACGGTGCATGGGGGCAGGCACGTGTGCAGCAAGTGTGCACACAGCGTGCACAGAGGATGCACAGAGCATGCAGGAGAACATGTGGAGCCTGCAGAGAGAGCACACACTGCACAGAGTGTGCACAGAGTGTGCGTGGAGTGTGCAGAGTCCACTGAACCAGCACGGCCTTTGTGAGCGTGCCAGCACTGGGTGTGTGTTCCAAGTGTGCACAGAGTGTGCAGAGAGAGTCCATGCAGAGAGCACCTGTGCAGAGTGTGCACAGAGCACGTGGAGTGAACATGCACACGGCATTTGCACAGGACATGCATGCAGCATGTGGTGAGTGTGCAAAGAGCGGGAGCAGGGAGGCTGTGTGCAGTGCTTGCACGAAGCACACGCAGAGCGTGCATGGTGTGTGTGGAAAGTGTGCACAAAGCCAGCAGCTGAGTGTGCTCAGAGCATGTGCAAGAATGAGTCTGCAGTGCTGGCACAGGGCATGCGTGGAGCCTGCAGTGAGCGTGCAGAGTGTGTGCGCTGCGCTTGCACAGAGTGTGTGTGGTGCATGTGGAGAGAGCGAGCACAGAGAGCTGAGCATGACTGGAGCCAGCACGAGGAGCACACACACTGCACGCCCAGCAGCCTCGTGTGCACACGTGTGTGTAAGAGCACGGTGCCCACCCGCCATGGCACACCCCCCATGCATGGAGCAGGACATGCACTGGCACACAAGCTCGCCCAAGGGTGCAACATGCATCAGGAGGTCTAAACAGGGGGCTCCCTCCTGCCCCCCAGCTCCCCAGCTGCAATGTCCCCTAAACGTGGGCTGGAAGCCCAGGCCCAAGCATTGCCCCTTTGCCACGGTAGGATTTTCTGTGAAAATCCCCCAGTTTTGGGGCACACAACGCTGTCTCTCCCCAAGCCTTCATGGGAAATAGGTTTAGGATGAAAAGCACAGAGTGGCTGGCCAAGTGAGCCGGGCCCTGGGGCATCCGGGGTGGGTGCCAGGGCACCCCGGAGTGCTCGGGGTGCACTACTAACCAATAAACTAAACGTACTACCCATCTGGTGCTGGCACCCTTGGGTGTCTTTGTGGGACAGGGGTCCCCCAGGGTGGGGGGATACCATGAGAAGTGGCTGACAGGCAAGACCACACAAACCCGATGTACCTGGGTGGCATTCAAACCAGCACTTGAAGTGTTTGGGAGACCTTGGACTGTTTCCCTCTGGTACCTACTGATGGTGTCCTCAGCTGAGAGCCCATTTCTTTTTAATTTGTCTTCCTCTGAACATGGCAAAGGAGAAGGGGAATTTATTCTGACTAATTAAATTCATCAACCGCTGGTGTCCCCCACTCTACTGTCTCCGGGTGCTGCCAGTGCCACCGTGGCCAGGCACTCCCACTGCCACAGGATGGCTGAGCTGTTTGTGGCCACCGTCACCTTCCCCCCCTTCGGCATTTCCTGGCGCCCGCATCCGGCTATTGTACCCCCCCATCCGGAGCCGGATCCAGCCCCGGTGCTGGCAGGGAGGAACCGGGATTTCGGGAGGAAACGGGAAGGCTGGCCAGGGCCGGCATGGCGGGCGGCTGGGAGACAGCACTGGGCCTGGGGCTCTGCCTCGCTGCCCTGCACCACGGAGGTGAGTGCAGCCTATGGGGGCCAAAATCCACTTAACTCTTCCCTCTGCCCTACCCCGGATCTGAGGCCATGCCCACCTGGGGCACCTATTGGCATTCCCCCACCTCCTTGTCACCCGACAGGCTGCCACCTCCCCAGCATGGCCACGGCACCCCAAACTCCAGCTGGTAAGGACACCTGGTGGGTGGCTGATACAGAAGACACCAGAAAATCCTGCTCCCCCCACCCACAATGTGCCCTCCCGACCGCAGTTCTGCGGGACAATTTCCGCCTGCAGCCAGGTGATTTGGTGACCACAGCGGGGCAAGCATTGGAGCTGGATTGTGTCCCCCCCTTGGGGTACCCTGAACCCTACATTACCTGGAAGAAGGACGGGGTGACCTTGGACTTGGTAGGTGGCAGGTACGTGGTCACCAAGGGGAAGTTGCAGGTGGCATCGGCGCAACGGAGCGACTCCGGTCTCTACATCTGTGTGGCGGCCAATGCGGCAGGCAAGAGGGAGAGCCGGGGTGCCCGTGTCTCCGTGCTGGGTAAGCCAAGCGTCTCCCACGGGTGGTGGGCACGTCACACCCAGCCATGGTGTCATGTGCGTGATTTCCCCCGCAGAGAAGCCGAGCATTGTGCGGCACCCAAGCGACACCGTGGCGGTGGCTGGCAGCACTGTGGAGCTGGGGTGCAGCACCCGAGGTGACCCAGCGCCACAGGTGCAGTGGCACAAGGAGCGTGGAGACCTGCCCTGGGGCAGGTAGGTGGTGGCAGGGGGGAGGTGTCCCATCCCTGGTGTGAGGATGAGGCTGATGGAGAGCTGGTGACCCGCAGGCACGAGGTGGACCGGGAACACACTCTGCGCCTCTATGCCGTGACGTCTGCCGATGCCGGCGCGTACGTGTGTACAGCACAGAGCCAGCTGGGCACCGCCGCCGCCACCACCTTCCTTCATGTGGAGGGTCAGTGGTGGGACCTCCGTGGCCTCCACCATCACAGGCACCCAGGGCCATCTGGGGGTTCATGCAAGGGGATCCATCTAACAGGGTCCATCTAATGGGGTTCATCCAAGGGGGCCATTCAAGGGCAGTCTGCCCAGGGGGTCCATCCAAGGCCATCCATCATCCATCAGATAAAAGTCCATCCAGCTGAGTCATTTGAGGTGATCCATCAAAGGGGGCATTTCCAAAGGCAGGTCCATCTAAACACATCCATCCAACAGGATCCACCCAAGAGTTCCATCCAAGAAGGTTCATGTAAGGGGATCCATCTAAGGAAATGCATTGAGGTGATAGTCTGTCCAAGATTCAAGATCACCCACCTAAAGGGGATCCAGCCAACCTGGTTCCTCCAGGAGGATCCATTTAAGGGGATCTATGCAAGGTGGAAGTACATTAAAGGGGGATAGAACAAGAAATATCCATCCAAAGGGTCCACTTAAGAGGGATATATCATGGGGGTGTATCATGGGATCCCTTCCCATGTCCCCAGGGACAACACATCAAAGGGGGCCCATCCAAGAAGGGTCCATTCAAGACAGACCCATCAAAGGGTGTCTGTCCAAAATAGTTCATTTGAGTAAGTCCATCCAGGTAGACATCAGGATCTCCATGTGCAGGTATCTGAGGTAGATGTCTGGGCAGCTGCCAGGAGACCTTGGTCCTGCCTGGTGCTGCCATTCACCTTCTTCTGCCTCACAGACCGGCTGGCAACGGGCCAGCAGGAGGCTGCACCACGGGACCTGCTGGCTGTGCGGCTGCACCTGGACAACGGCACTGCACTGCCCACTGCTGCTGTCCAGCTCCGCTGGCAGGTTGGTGTGATGCTCAGCTGCCCCCAGGGGAGGGGGAATGGGAATATGGGAAATGGGAATATCCCCATGTGCCACCTTAACTTGGAATTCTTCCCATCTCCCTCAGCTGCTGATGCCGGTGCCAGTGCCTGTGGGCTACGTGGTGCTGTACCGCAGCCTGCTCCCGGTCACCACCTCCTGGCTCCAACATGACGCAGGCAGGGAGCTCAGCGCCATCATCCCTGCACTCCGCAGGGGCTACAAGTATGAGTTCAAGGTCCGACCCTACACTGGAGGGACCCAGGGCTCAGACAGCAACAGCAGGCACCTCTGGATACCTGAGGAAGGTATGTTGTGTGTCCCCCAGGATGTCTGGGTGGAGGATGGGGAGGTCAGCTGGGGTCTCAGCATCCCTGTCCCGGCAGTGCCCAGTGCAGCGCCCCAGCGCGTCACCGTCAGCCAGGCTGAGACTGGGAACGGCACTGTGGTTGTGAGCTGGGAGCCACCTCCCCCTGAAGCACACAATGGCGTCATCCGGGGCTACCAGGTTTGGGGCAATGGGGCAGGGGGGCAGGGCTGGGGTCTTCTGGCCAAGGACGGTCAGTCCAAGGAGATCCATCCAAAAAGAGAGCCTGTCAAAGGTGGGGGTCTACCCAAGGGGGGAACCATCCAAGGAGTCTATCCAGTCTACCCAATCTAACCTCCATCTCAACAAAAGGGTTCATCCAAAAGGTTCATCCAACCAGGGTGGAGGTCCATCCCAGGGCATCTGTCTAGTGGCATCCAAGGGAGTTCATCCAAAGGGGTCCAGCCTAGGGGATTCAGCCAGGGTGTCCATCCAAAGAGGGATGCATCAATGGGGGTCCATCCAAGAACTATTCACCCAAGGAGGTTCATCCTAGGAGCATGCAAGGGAGCATCCAAAGAGGAGTCCATCAAGGAAATTCATCTAAGGGCACCCATCCAAGTGAATCTATCCATGGGGGATCCAATGGGAGTCTGTCAAGGGATGTTCATCTGAAGGGTGACAAGGGATGGACATCCCAGGGTGTCCATCCACAGGGGGCCATCAAAGCTAATCATCTAAGGGGACACATCCTCTTGGTGTCTGCCAGGTCTGGTCAATGGGTGAGGGCTGGCAGCATCCCACCAACAGGACAGTGGACGGAGCCACCCGCCGCCTGGAAACCCTCCTCCCACACCCTGGGACCGAATTCTGTGTCCAGGTGGCAGCTTTCAACAGTGCAGGGCTGGGGGTTCCCAGCAATGCCACCTGTGGAGTCCTGGGTAGGAGATGGAGAGCAAGGTGGGGTGCAGGTGGGGGTCCGAGTAGTGACGTGAAGTGACACTGATGGAACCCTTGCAGGGCTGACAGCAGGGAGCAGCAGGGTGGTCCAGGCACTGCGGCAGCCTGCTGTTATCGCAGCCGCTGGTTCCATGCTCTGGTTGGCCTTACTTGCCCTCCTCCTCCTCCTCTGCCAGCGCCGTGCCAGCCAGGACGCCGCAGCCCGCCACAGGTGAGAGGCATGGGGTGGGGGACACAGCAGACCCCGGTGTGGTGGGGATTGATGCACTGACAGCACCTCTTGCCCTGCAGACTGATGGCTGGTGACTCACCATGGCTTGGTGGTCCCTGGAAACCCAGCTGTGCCCCTCGAAACCTCAGCAGCAGCAGCAGCCTCAGCAGCCGACTCCTGGGCAGTGATGGCAGGGACCCCCACCCCTCCAGTGAGCCCCATGGGGACTGGGATTCCCCACCCACTGCCATGGGAACCCCACCCCTCCAGTGAACACTAGGGTTGGGACCCCCACCTAGAGCCATAGAGCCTCCACACTCTGCCATGGAACCCCCACCAGCACTGTGGGACCCCCATCCATCCCATGCGATGCCATTGGATGCCCACCCAGTTCCATGGAACCCAGACCTGCTGCAACAGGGCCCCCAGCCCAGGCCTAGGACCCTCACAGAGTGCCATGGGACCAGCAAAGTGTACCCAAGACCCCCACCCTATTCCTGGGGGTGCTATGGGACCCTCATCTTGGTGTCCCTCATTGTTTGTCTGCAGGCAGCAAGGACTTGAGGACACACAGAGACAAGGACAGAGGGGACAGGGGACACATGGCCCCATGGGTGCCCTGACCTCTCTTACTCTTCCAGCTCTCTCCTTGGAGCCGCCGAGCCTTGGCCCCCCCACGCCCCCCATCCACAGCAGCCTCCATGGGGGACGCCCACCACCCCTCGGGGACATGGGGTGCTGTGGTGGGGGGCACCCCGGGGTGCATTCCTCACCCAGCACCCCAAACCCAGCACCCTGGGAGCGTGTACGCAAGAGAGGTGGGTGTGGGGGGCACATGGGGGGACATGGGGGACACCAGGGTAATGGCCCATGGCTCTGTGTCCCTCATTCCCCTCGCAGAGCTGCATCAAGTGCACAGCACCCCGCTGCTCATAGCTGGCCCCAGCCACATCCCTGTCACTGGAAGTGGAGGCGAGTGGGGGACAGATTTTGGGCTGGCAGCCCGGCAGCCTCAGCAAAGGGGACACGAGGGTGACACCGCTGCTGCCGTGATGAACAGCAGGGACCCACGGCTGCCTGTCTTCAGCTCTCCAAAACCACATCGGGGCAGCACTTCACTGGCCTCTGGTGTAACCAGGTCACCGGTGACACCCCCGAGACCACCCCATGCCTGGCACCCACCAGTGACACGGTGAGTTTGAGTGCCCCCATCCAGATGGGTGCCCTGCAACCCAACCCTTTGCTGCAAAACCAAACATGTCCCTTGCACCTGCAGGTCCCCGGCCTCCATGTGCCCCAGGGACACATCTCTGGTCACCAGGCATCCCAAGGACATGTCCCCAGTCACTGAGATCCCCAGGGACACATCTCCAGTCATGCGATGCCCCAGGGACACATCCCCAACCACTGAAAGCCCCAGGGGTGTGTCACTGGCCACCAGGAGCCCTAGGAACATGTCCTTGGTCACTGAGCACTCCAAGGACGTGTTCCTGGACAGCAGGCATCCTAAAGATGTGTTGTCAGTCACCAGAACCCCCAGGGACATGTCACCAGCCACCAGGCACCACAAGGATCCATCACCAGCAACCAAGCAGCAGAGCAAAACAGTCTTGGCCACCAGGCACCCTGAGGACACCTCTCTGGTCACCAGGTGCCCCAGAGAGCCATTACCCGTGGCCAAGTGCCAGAGGGACACCTCACTGTCCACCAGGCACCCCAAGAACACATCCCCAGCCAGCAGGCACCCAGAGGACACATCCCCAGGCACTGGGCACTGCAGGGACAAGTTCCTGGCCTCCAGGTATGCCAAGGACATGTCCCCAGCCAACGACTACCCCAGGGAGCCATTACTGGTGACCATGCACACAAGGGACATGTCCCTGTGCAGCAGGTTCCCTGAAAACATGTCACCAGCCTTGAGGCACCCCAACGACACAGTGCCAGCCACTGGGAACCCCAGGGACACATCTCCAGCCACCAGGCACCCCAGGGACACATCCCCACTCACCAGACACCCTGAGAAGATGTCACCAGTCTCCGAGCACCACAGGGACAAGTTCTTGGGAACCAGGTATTCTAAGGACATGTCTCAGGCCACCAGGAACCCCAGGGAGCCATCACTGGTGACCATGCAGACAAGGGACATGTCCCTGTGCAGCAGGTACCCTGAAAACATCTCACCAGCCTTGAGGCACCCCAGGGACACATCTCCAGTCACCAGGCACCCCAGGGAGACATCTCCAGCCACCAGGCTCCCCAGGGAGACATCTCCAGCCACCAGGCATCCTGAAGAGGTGTCTCCAGTCACTGGTCACCAGGACATGCTCTCAGGCACCAGGTACCCCAAGGACATGTCCCTGGCCACCAGCCACACCAGGAACATGTCACTGGAGACCAGGCACCCAAGGGACATGTTCCTGGCTACCAGGTACCCCAAGGACATGTCCCTGGCCACCGGGCGCCTCTCGCTAGCATTCAGCGATGGGGTCCTCACACAACAGCAGGTGGCTGAGGTCCTGGAGATGGACCAGGACACCGCCTCCTGCAGGTATTCCCCATCCCCCTGGGACACTCCCATGGTTGCAGCATCCCCTGGTGCCAGCAGTACCCTCGCTGTGTTCCCCACAGACCCCCGGCACCAACCACACCACGGTCCTTCTCACCACTGCACACCTACGGCTACATCTATGGGCCACCAGCCTCTGAGCTAGGTGAGGAGGAGGAGGAGGAGGAAGAAGAGGAGGAGGAGGAACGTACAGCAACGAGGGGCTCTCCAGGAGGGTCGCTGCTGAACGGCTGGGGCTCTGTCTCAGAGGACAACTTTGCCAGCACCCGCTGCAGCTTGGTGAGCTCCTGTGATGGCTCCTTCCTCCTGGATGCCAGCTTTGCCCGGGCGCTGGCTGTGGCTGTCGATGGCCTCTACTGCAGCCTTGAGGACACCGATGGGGCCTACGGGGGTGAGTGAAGGGTCCCTGGATCCCCTCTCTGACCCTGAGCATTGTCACCTCCCCAAGGAAGACAGTTCCATCATGACACCATGGTGATGCCACCATCTCTTGTCTTCTTCCCTGCAGGTCCCTCACCACCACCATCGCCCTTGGAGCAAGTCTTCCCACCTGGAGTCCACTCTAGCACCTGGGACTGGTGGAAAGTGCTGGAGGTCCCACAGAGATCCAGGACAGAGACAGCCATGAACAGTAGCTCACAGAACGGTGCGTAGTGTCAATGCCAGAGTGGTGGGCACTGGGGGTGGTGAGGTGTTGGCAGGGTGTTGGAAAATGTTTCCTTTGCTTTCCAGGTGGCCAGGGGTCAGGGATTGGCAGCCCCTGGGCCAGGGAAGATGGTGAGCTGGGGACAGGAGGGACAGGAGCATGGCAGTCCCCAGGGCGCAGGACACAGCAAGGCCAGAGTTCCCTTGGCTCAGCTAAAATCCAACTTTATTAGGCAGTTCCCCAAACAGGGGCTCTTTACTAGGAAAAGCCACCCACGGAGGCTGGGTGGCACCAAGGTGGTGGGTGTCCCTCCTTATTCACTGTTCTTGTCCTCCTTCTTCCACAGTGTCCCCATCCCTCCTCAGCATCTCCACCCCTTTCAAAATTCTTCATTCCTCTCCAGCATCCTCATCTTCCCCAAGAATCTGCGTCCCTCTAAGTGTCTTTGTCCTTCCTCAGTGTCCTCCTCCTTCCCCAGCATCCTCATCCCCCCTAACTATCCTTCTCTAGCCCAAGCACTGTTGTCCACCCTGTGTCCTTATCTTTCCCTAGGGTTGTTGGCTCCCTGACCATTCCCATTCCTGCTGACTATCCCCATTCCTTCCAACTGTCCTTGTGCTTTCTGATAGTTCATGTCCTTCGTCAGCATCCTTGTCCTACCTTGTCCATCCTTGTCTCTCCCAAGTGTTCTCATCCTTCCCAAGCCACCTGAGCACCTTGTGCTCCCTCTAAATGTCCTTGTCCCTCCTAATCATCCTCATTCCCAGGTTTCTCAGCCCTCCTGAGTGTCCTCATCCTTCATCAGTTGTTTTGTCCCTCGTGCCAAGTGTCCTTTTCCTTCCCCACTGTCCTCATCCCCCTGCAACCATCCTCCTTGTCCCTTACTACTGTCCTTGTCCCTCCCAAGCAATCTTGTTTTTCCCAAGTGTCCTCTTCCGCCAGCAATCCTCAATCCCCTGGAAATCCTTGTCCTTACTCCATATCCTCTTCCCTCCAGGTGTCATTGTCACCCAGCCTTCTTTGTCCCTCACCAGCACCCTCATCCATCTGCTGTGTCCTTGTCACCCCCATGTAATCTTGTCCCCCGCCAGCCGTCCCCTTCCCTTTCAATCACCTCATTTCTCCCAGACATCCTTGTCCTTTCCCAGCATCCCTGTTCCTCCCAACTGTCCTTGTTTCCAGGATCTTTGCCCCACTTAGGCATCCACCTCACCCCTCCCCAGCGCCCTCATCCCTCTTTGTCCTCATCTGTCCCAAGTGTTTCTGTCTCCAGGGTTCATGTCCTTCCCTGAGCACCTTCCTTGTCCCTCCTGAGCATCCTTGTCCCTCCCCAGGGTCCTCATTCCTTGTGAATTCCTTGCCCCACCCCAAGATTCCCTGTCCCCCCTCACGCTGACGCCCACTGGCCGCGACCTCTGTGCAACCCCATTTCCATGGAGCCGCACAGAAATTAAAGAACATCCCTCCGTGTCCCCTGTGTTCCCATCCCCGTGTCCCCAGCTCTGTCACCGACTCGCCCTCCCTTTTATCGCTTTTCCTGCGGCGGGCAGGGAAACGGGGCCCCCGGGCGGCGGCAGTGGCCGGTGCCTTCTCCGCGCTCCCCCGGGGTCCGGCTGCGCCCCGAGCCGTGGCCGCGGGAGCTGCTGGAGCCGCGGGACGAGACGCTGCCCGTGGTGGAGCAGCTGCCGGACACCTGCCCGCGGGGCAGGCAGGAGGGTTTGTTGTAGGGGATGACCTCATCTGCAGGGGAGGGGACAAGGTTGGGGCTCGGCAGTGACACCCGCAGCCCTTTTGTGGCGCAGCCGGTGGCTCTGGCTTACCGCCGCGGGGCGGGCGGTGCGGGACCCTGCGCTCAGCCCCGCTCGGCTCCAGCTCCGGAGAGGGCCCGGGGCTCTCGCCGGGCGGCGGCAGCGGCGGCGGCGGCAGCTCTGCGGCAGAGAGGGTGGAGAGGGCTGAGCTCCCCTGAGCCCCCTGAACTCCCTATTTTTGCCCTCCCACTCACCTCCCATCTGCTTTTCCCGGCGGTAGCGGCTGCATTTGGGCTTCAGGCGACTTTTGGAGATCACCCCGCGGGTTTTCCCTGGGGAGGTGGGGATGGCAGCGTCAGCTCCCCCCAGCAGCCATTGAGGCTCCCACGCACCCAAAGTGGCCCCTCGGGGCTCACCTGTGCCAGGAGGGCAGCGGGCTCGGGGTGGGTGGCCCTCGCTGGCATCCGGAGTCACCGAGGGACTGGGTGCCTGTTTGGGGGTGCTGACGCCGGGGGGGTGTCTCCTGGCAAAGAGGGGTGTGGAGTGAAGGCAGGGTGGGGGGAGTGGGATGGGGGCTCAGTGGCCGCCACAGTGCCGGCACAAGTCCTCTAGAGCTGTGCAGAGCCGGAAGAAGCCATGGGCTATTGTCACAGCTGGATGGCACTGATGTAGGTGGACTGAAGCATCACAGCTGGATAGAAGTGCCACAGCTGGATCACAGCCACACACCTGGGGTGGCAAAGGGGAGCTGGATGGTACAGCTAGGGTGAAGGGCCACAGGCCTGACAAGGTTGTGATAGCATGGCTGGCCTGCAATGGCACATCTGGAGCACAGCTGGATAGGGGCTGCTCGGCTGGATTACAGCCACACATCTGGATTGCAGCAGCACAGCTGGATCACCACACATCTGGATTGCAGGCACACTGGCAGATTGCAGCTGTACAGCTAAATCCACACGGCTAAGATCATGGCACAACTGAATTGCAACCGTGCAGCTTGATTGCAGCTGCACAGCTGGGTCATAGCACAGCTGGATTGCAGCCATGGAGCTTGGCTGCAGCTGCACAGCTGGAGTGCAGTGACATGCCAGCATTGTGATGGCACAGGCGGATCGTGGCAGAGCTGGATCACAGCAGCACAGCTGTGTGATGGTGGCCCACCTGTCCCATGCAGCTGTATTGTAATGCCCCAGTCAGCCCACAAAATCATGGGTGTGTCATGACAGCATGGCCAGAGCACAGCTGAAGAGCAGGGGTGCATGGTGACACCATGGATGGATCATAAAGAGATGCCTGGACCATGGTAGGACATCCAGACCCCAATGGTAAGGTCAGACCGTGGTGGCACAGCAGGACCAGATCATGATAGCGTGGCTGGATTGTGATGGGACAGCCAGGCCATGGTGGGACATCCAGAAGCCTGGTCCAGAGTCCAGTGGCAAGGCCAGACTATGGTGGAACAGTGGAACTGGATCATGAAAGCATGACTGGGCATGATCCAGACCTCAGTGGGACATCTGGACCTCAGATGACATATCTGGACCTCAGTGGCATGGCTGGACTATGACAGCACAAGTGACACATCTGGACCATGACAGCACGGCACAGCCAAATAGTGACAAAATGGCTGAGTTGTGATGGAACATCTGGACCGTGGTGAGGCCTCTTGACCCCAAAAGAACACCTGGACCCCAATGAGACGCCTGGACCCTAATGACACAGTTGGATCATGATGGCATGGCAGGGCTGGGTAGTGACAACATGGCTGAATCGCAATGGAACGCCCAGGCCATGGTGGGACATCTGGACCTTGATGGGACATCTGGACCCCAATGGGACATCCAGACCCCAGTGGCACGGCCATACCAAGCAAGGCCCATCTCCTACCAGGACAGGAGGGAGCTATCGAAGTCGCGGAGGCGAGGGATGTCCTCCGTGGTGCGAGGCGATGGTGTCAGCGTGGCGGTGGAACGGCAGCCGGACGAGGTGGTGGGTGAGGATGCAGCAGTGGCACAGGGCACGTCCTCACCACGGTACCACACCTCCATCCCCAACCTGCAGGGTGGAGACCACAGAGTAGGTGCTGGGGGCAGCATGCCCAGCCCCCAAGCCCACATACTCACCCTCCAGCTGCATCTTCCTCTTCATCCTCCTCTTCCTCCTCCTTCTCCTCCTCCTGGGCACACTGGCTGAGCTCACTGGCTGAGGGTGGTGGGGGCAGCAGCTCTGTCCAGCTCACCACCGGTGGTTTCACTGCTTGCCCCAGCTTTGCTTTGGCCCCTGTGCCAAGGAGGGATGCTGGGGGGGCTGTGGGGAGGGCACCGCACCACGAGCACCCATGTGTGCCCACACCCATCCGACCACCCTACCGTGCTCAGCCCGGCCACGGGGCACCTGGGAGGCTGCAGCATCCATTGGCTGAGAACTCCCCCCAGGGTAGGAGGTCCCATACTGTGAGAAGGGTCGGGGGAATGTGCAGAGCTCCTCACTGTCAACGTCGATGGTGCTGTAAACCGGCCCCTCGCCAGCCCCCGCTCCGAACTGCTCTGTCTGGGCGATGTACCGAGTGATGCCGGCATCTGCAGAGGGTGAGCAGCATCATCAGGGCTGATCATGATCCCCTCAATCAGGGCCACCCAGCCCCATGCTGACCCCTCACCATTGTAGTATCTCTCAGTGCTCCCCAGGCAACTGGCAGCACCGGCTGCGCTGCCACCACGCCACGCATCCACCAGCCACGGGTAACCACCAGTGGCAGCTGCCCTGCAAGAGGATGGGGTGGAGGAATGCTGGTGGGCAGCCCTGGGGCTCCTGGGGAGGGCAGGGGATGCCGGGGGGGTTACCTGGGGTTGCTGCGCACTGGAGCCGGGAAGGCAACTGTGGAAAGAGATGGGGGTGAGGGCAGCGAGAGGCCGTACTGGGACCCCGCAGCACTTAGGGGCTTACCGGTGGGTGTGTAGGCAAAGGATGCTGTAAAGAGAAGGACAGTGGGTGGCTTATGGGCGAGGGTTGAGGGGTGAGGGGTCCCAGGGGTAGCGCCCCCCTGTACCGGTGAAGTGGCTGAGCTCCTTCTTCCTCCGGCGGCGGCTGTAGAGCCAAGCAGCAAAGGCAGCGAGAATGACCCAGCAAGCACCACCAATGCCGGCAATGAAGGCTGGCTGCCTGGCTACCTCTGCTAAATGCTCAGCCAAGCTGCTCCCGCCCGCAGGCCTCGCATCTCGCTCCACCAAGGGGGCTGCAAGTGACACGGGAAAGAGGGACACACCGGCGGGGTGCCAAGGAGCCATCCCCAGCACTGCAGTGGGTGACCCCACCCTGCCCCACCCATGGGAGGAAGTTGTGACAATGAGGAACTCACCGAGGTGGATGGGGACAGGGGCACTGCGGACACCCACACCAGCACTGGTGGCAGCGGCAACTTCAGCACGGTAAGGGACGCCAGGGACGAGTCCCTGCAGCACTGTCGCCAGCACCGTCCCCTCCACGCTCTGGTTGATGTGGAAGCGGCTCTCATTGCCCAAGCACCAAATCTGGTGAGGACCAGGAGGAAAAGATGGGGAACACCCATAAGGACGCCATGACATGGTGTCATGAGTGGACAGAGTGGACCTGCCACGTCCCTGCTGCTGTCCACACTTACCCGGTAATCACGGATTACACCATTCTGCTCTGCCAGAGGGGGTGGCTGCCACGAGATGCGGACACTGGTACCATTCCCAGCCACACTGACAGCTCGTGGCGGGGCGCTGGGGGCTGCCGGTGGAGGACACATGGGGTATCACTGCCAGGCTGTCCCCAGGGACCCACACTATCAACTCCATCCCTACACTCACCCGCTTCGGGGGTGTGCAAAGCTCGCACAGCGCTGTCAGGACCATGGAGGTGTTGAAAATAGGGTCGAACCTTAACCTCGTAGTCCTGGCCCCGGAGCAGCTCGGTGAGCAGGGCCCCCCGCTCCCCTGGTGCCCACACCATCCGTGCCTCCTCCCAGCGCCCGCCGCGCTGCCGGTACAGCACCCGGTAGCCCTGAAGGAATGGTGCCTGGTGCTCCACCTGAGGACCCGAGGGAAGGGTGGGATGGGGGGATGATCAACACCGAGAGCCCTGTACCAGTAGGGAGGCTCAGCACTCACGGTCCAGGAGAGGTGGACGGTGCCCAGTGGCAGCACCACAGGTTCCTTCAGGTGCACAGCCACTTGTGCCAGCTCCTGCTGCACCTGCTCGGGATCCAGCCCTTGCTGCACGGGATTGGCATCTGCTGGAAACATGAGAGGGTGGAGGGTCCATGCATATCTCCACTGGTGTCACCAAGTGAAGGAGCCATGGTGACAGCACATACCCATGGCAGGTCCATGGGAAATTCCATTGGCATCACGGGACAAGGATGGACCCAAAGATTTTGGGTGCACAGGCACCTCCATTGGTGTCCCCAAGTGGAGATGGACCCAAGGGTGGGGGGTTTGTGGACACCTCCACTGATGTCACTGCTGGGTCTCACCTTGGGTGCGCACAGGCTCTGAGATGCCGCTGGGGTCACTGAGCCCGTAGGCATTGACCGCCCGCACCAAGAACAGGTAGACAGTGTCAGGGACAAGGCTGGTCACTGTGTGGGTCTCACCCTCCACATCGGCTGCCACTGTCTGCCACGGGCCACCCGCTGCCTGGCTGCCAGGGGACAGGGGTGACTCGTGACAGGGTGGTATCAGGCCACCACATCATCCCTGCAGCCAGAGAAGAGG